TGATTCCGTGTGTGAACCTGATTTTTTGTGTGTGTTTTTCTGGTTTTTTAAAAAAATTCTCATTGTTTTATTCTCTCCCCACTCCTCCCCCCAACCTGGTATTTCCATGCTTATTAGTTCTTTTTCTGTGTCTCTATATGCCTTGGAGTACGTGTGCCTGTCTGTCTTGGGGTGTGTATATGTATTGGTATGTATGGAATTCCATCTCTGGTTTTGTGTGTGTGAATATCTCTAGGTGTCAATGTATCCAGGTGTTTGTCTTTAGGGGGTTTGTCTCTGTGAGTTTCTGGATTTATTTCTGCCTCTCTATCTGTCTCTGTCTCTGTCTCTCTGTCTCTGTCTCTCTGTCTCTCTTTGTATCTGTCTTTGGATTTGCATCTAGCTCTGGGGATATATATTTCTGGATTTATGTCTGCTTGTGGGTGTGTGGTTGAGTCTGTATGTTTCTGTCTCTGTCTTTCTGAGCCTTTCCCAGTCCCTCTATATTCTAGTGCCTTCTTTCTTATATTTCCTATTTATCCTGTATATAGCTTGTTTGTACACACTTATCTGTTTGTCTTTCTCATTAGATTTTGAGCTCCTCTAGGGCAGAGACTGGGTATGTTGTCTTTTTCTGTCTATGGGAGTGGGTATCTCTGTGTCTGGGTATTGACTTTTACGTGTCTGTCACTGCCTCCTGGTTCAAGCATATCTGTGTATATATTTATCTGTCTCTGGGGATCTGAATGTCTCTGGATAAATGAATCTAGTGTATGAGTGTATGTATCTCTGTGTGTGCCTGTCTTTTAATCTCTGGATATGTCTGTCCATGGAAATATGTTTCTCTGTGACTGTGTTTATGTCTATGTGTATATACCTGTCTCCTTGTGTGTCAGTGTGTATGTCTCTAAATATGTGTGTGGTTGCAGATGTCTCTAGATGTGTTTGTCTGTAGCTGTATGTGTCTCTGTGTTTGCATGTATTTCTTTGGCTGTGTGCCTCCCTTGATATGCTTGTAGATATATATTCCTCTCTTTTTCTGTTTGCGCCTTATATGGCTGTGTGTATATATGTGTGATTCGTGGCTCTGTTTATGGGTGTCTCTTGTTCCATGTAGAGGTGTGTGTATGTGTGTGTCTAACAAGACCTGTGTGTGGTTTGTGATGCTGTGTGTATGTGTGCCTTTTGCTGGACATGTGGCATTGTATGTGTGTGTATCTCTCTCTGTTGGCTTAAGTGGCTGTATAAATATTTGTACCTCTCTTGCTGCATGTGTGAATATCTGACACTTTGCTATGTGTGCAAATGTGTATGTGTGCATGTCTCTTGCTGCATGTGTAATTTATGTGGCTTTGTTTATATGCATGTCTCCTGCTCAATGTATGACTTTGTGTATGTATACATGTCTTATTCTCTTTGTGTTTTGTGAGGCTCTGTGTGTGCCTCTCTTGTTGCATATGTGACTGTTAATGTGTTTGGGTCTCTTGCTGCTGCTTGTGTGGCTTTGTGTATGTGTGTGTCTCTCTTGATGCATGCATGGCTATGTGAATGTGTATACCACTCTAAGTGGCTTTGAACGGCTCTCTTGTTGCATATGCGACTCTGTGTTCCTTATTTACTGACTGTGGCTGTGTGTGTACTGCTTTTGCTACGTGTTAATGCGTGTGTGTGTGTGTGTGCACCTCTCTTTTGACATGTGTATGGTTGTGATTCATACCTCTCATCCAGTGTGTGAACGTATATTTTTGTTTGCTTCTCTTGCCACATTTGTGGCTATGTGTATATATGTGCATCTTTTGAATGTGTGGCAGTGTGTGTTTTTTGCTGCATATGTGCTTTCTGTATATGTCTCTTGTGTGGCTGTGTTTATGTTTGTGTTTCTCATGCTGTATGTGTGTATGTACGTGTGTGGTCATCTGTGTATATTTCTCTTGCTGTATGTGTGATTGTGTTTATATGCCTTGCTTGCTGCATATACAGCTGTTGTGTGTATTTGTGCCTCTTTTTATGCAAGTATGGCTGTGTATGTATTTCTTTTTTTCCTTTTTTTCTTAATTTATTTTGATTTATCAACAATCACTTCCATAAGCTTTTGAGTTTTAAATTTTTCTCCCCCTCTCTCTACCCCTCCTCCCCAAGATAGTGAACAATCTGATATAAGCATATTAAACATATTTTTACATTAGTCATGTTGTAAGGAGGAATTAGAAACAATAGAAGGAACCATAAGAAAGAGGAAACAAAACAAAACAGAAGAAAAATAAAGAGCAAATAGTGTCCTTCAATCTGTATTCAAACTCCATAGTTCTTTCTTTGGATGTGAATAGCCATTTTCTTTTCTTTTCTTTTCTTTTCTTTTCCTTTCTTTTCTTTTCTTTTCTTTTCTTTTCTTTTCTTTTCTTTTCTTTTCTTTTCTTTTCTTTTCTTTTCTTTTCTTTTCTTTTCTTTTCTTTTCTTTTTTTTATTGTTTAGGCAATTGGGGTTAAGTGACTTGCCCAGGGTCACATAGCTAGTAAGTGTCAAGTGTTTGGTCTGAGGCTGGATTTGAATTCACATCCTCCTGACTTCAGGGCCAGTGTTCTATCCACTGCACCACCTGGCTGCCCCATAGCATTTTCCATCATGAGACTTTTGGAGATGTTTTAGATCCTTGCATTGCTGAGAAAAGCTAAGTCCATCAAAGTTAGTCATCGCACAGTGTGGCTGTTACTGTGTATGACATTCTCCTGGTTCTGCTCACTTTATTCAGCATCAGTCCATACAAGTCTTTCCAGGTTTTTCTGAAGTCTGCCTGCTCATCATTTCTTATAGCACAATAGTATTCCATTACATTCATATACCACAACTTGTCTAACCATTTCCCAATTGATGGGCATCCCCTCAATTTCCAATTCTTTGCCACCACAAAAAGAGCTGCTATAAATATTTTTGTATATGTAGATCCTTTCTCCTTTTTTATGATCTTTTTGGGATACAGACCTAGTAGTGGTATTGCACAGTTTGATTGCCCTTTAGGCATAGTTCCAAATTGCTTTCCAGAAGGGTTGGATCAGTTCACAACTCCATCAACAATGTGTTAGTGTTCCAATTTTCCCACATCTTCTTCAACATTTATAATTTTTATTTTCTGTCATGTTAGCCAGTCTGATAGGTGTGAGGTGGTATTTCTGCGTTGTTTAATTTACATTTCTCTAATCAATAGTGATCAGTGTATCTCTTTCTTGTTGCTTGTGTGAATGTGTTTATGTGGGTCCGTGTGTGTCTTTTGCTGCATGTGTGACTATGTGTATGTACATCTTTTGCTGCATATACGACTGTGTTTTTACATGCCTCTCATGGCACATGTGTGGCAATGTGCCTCCCTCTTGCAGCTTTTGGGCTTTGAATATGTGTGCATCTTTCTTGCCGTGTGCATCTGTGTTTATGTCTGTATATCTCTTGTAGCATGTGTGCCTCCTGCTGCATGTGTGGGTCTGTACGTGTGTCTCTTGTCACATGTGGACTGTGTGTGTGTGTTTGTGTCTCTCTTGCTTCATGTGTGGCTCTCTATATGTGTGTGGCTCTGTTTGTGTGAGTCCCTCTCTTGTTCTGTGTCTGGCTGTGTTTATACATAGCTTTTGCTGCGTGTGTGAGAGAGATACATACAGTGACACATGCAATGAGAATCATGCCTGACCCAGTCATACACACAGCAAGACACTGGTACATGTACAGTCTCACACGCAGTGAGAAATATTTACGTATGCAGCTAGAGAGTGCCTTGTGTGTGTTTGTGCCTGTCTTGCTGTGTGTGTGGCCATATGTACGCCAGTGTATCTCTTACTGCGTGTGTGGCTGTGTGTGTATTTGTGTCTTGTTGCTGGTTGTGACTGCTTTTAGGAGTGTCTCTTGTTGCACAAGTGACTGTGCAGCACGTAGAACTTTATGACTGTTTGTACTTTTCTGGCTACGTGTATGACTGTGTATATGTGTGTACCTCTTGTACAACATGTGTTGCCGTGTGTAGGTGTGTGCCTTTTTTGCTGCATGTGTGGCAGCGTATTTGTGTCTGTTTTGCGGCATGTGTGTTGTGTATTTGTGTTTCTCTTGCTCCATGTGTGTCTGTGTATATTGTATGCCTCTCTTGCTGTTTATGTGCTGATGTATATGTCTGTCTGTCTCTTGCTGCTTGTGTGGCTGTGTGTATGCGTTTGTGTGTGCCTCTCTTGTGGCATGTATGGTTGTGTGTCTGTTTAGGTGTCTCTTGCTGCCCATGTAGCTGTGTTTAGACATGTCCCTCTTTTTGCATAAGTAGCTGAGTGTGCCCTTCTTGCTGAACGTGTGACTGTGTGTGCCTTTCTCGCATGTGTAGCTATATGTAAATATGTCTCTTGCCCCATGTGTGGCTGTGTGTATCTTTCTTCCTGGGTGCGTGGCTCTTTTTATGTGTACTTCTCTTGTTGGTTGTGCAACTTTTGTATTTCTCTTGTTCCATGTGTGGCTGTGTATTTGTATTTGTTTCTTTTGCTGTATGTGGGGCTCTTTGTATATATATGCTTCTCTTCCTGAATGTGTAGCTATGTGTGTGTTTGCATTTATTGTTTGTGTGGCTGTGTGTATATACTTCCCTTGCTTTGTGTTTGTATGCCTGTCTTGCCGTGTGTGTATGTGTGTAGCTATGTATGCTTCTCTTGCTGCATATGTGGGTTGTCTGACTGAGTGTGGTTGTACCTTTCTTGCTGCACATGGGGCTGTGTGTGTGCCTGTCTTGCTGTTTGTGGTTTGTGTGCCTCTGTGTATGTGTGTGAGTCTCTCACTGATTTTGTGTATGTAGTTATTTGTGTATGTGTACCTTTCTTGCTGCTTGTATAGCTGTGTGTATGTGTATCTTGCTGCTTGTATGGCTTGTATGACTATGTATGTCTGTGTCTTTCTTACTGTAGTTGGTGACTGTCTCTATGTCTGAGTCACTGCCACAAAGGCTTTGACTGGCATGGGAGAGACAGCAGATGCCCTCAGCTAAGAGCATTTCTCCCCTGCAGATAATTTTCCTGCCCACTCGGCTTCAGACCCCTCGAACAGCCACCCTTCTGAGCAGTGCTGGCAATGGCTATATTTATGCCTGGTCAATTCATGACAAAGGGGGCTTGCTGGGAAAATTCCAACCAGCAGGTAATCAGTGTCAGGATTCAGTTGTTGGTGCTATGGTCAGTGATGAAAAGGACTGGATCTTAATAACTGGGGACTCCAAAGGGCACCTTAAGGTGAGTGTGGGGTTTCATGTTAGGGCTGAGAGATCAAAGAAATTATTTCAGTTAATTTGTGGTCTTGTTCTCTCTTACTTTTAATTTTATTTCTTGCCAACACCAACCCCACCTCGTATGCCCTCAGTTCTGTTCATTCATTCATTCATTCATTCCACAACCACTTTTTACTAATCCTTGCACTAGATTGGGGACCCAAAGACAAAACCAAGATTGTCCTCAAGGGCAAGAATTGTTTTTGTCTTTATTTTCCCAGTGCTTACTTAGCACAGTGCCTGGCACATGGTAAGTGACAAGATTGTGTTGATTGATTAAATACAAAATATGTACAAAACACATACTAATTTGGTTGAAGGGAACACATTAGCTACTGAGGGGTGGGGTGGGCAGAATAGATTTTGCATAGGAGGTACAAGTGAATTGAACCTAGAAGGAAGCTAGGAATTATGAGTCATAAATGAGGAGGGGGGTGCATCCCAGGCAAGGGAGGCAGTCTGTGCAAAGACACAGAGACAGGAGATGGAATCTTAGGTGAAGGGAACAGCAAATGGGATGTTTAGACAGAAATGTAGGGTGAGCAAAGGGGTGTAAAGTGTAATAAGACTGGAAAAGGTAGGCTGGAGTGATTGTGAAAGGACTTAATTGCCAATGGAGGAGTTTGTATTTTATCCTAGAGACAGCTGGGAGCCAATGCAGTTTCTTGAGTAGAGGAGTAACATGGTGATATCTTGGCTTTAGGAACATCCATTTGACAGTTATGTGGAACATGGATTAGACAAGGAAAAGGTTTGAAGCAAGGGGACCAATTAGGAGCCTTTTACAGTTGTTAGGGGAAGTGATGATGTGGACTTAAATTAGGGAATTGACATGTGAGTGGAGAGTAGGGGACAGATGTGAGAGATGGGCAAACATTAAGAAAGGAGAACAGCTAAGACTTGGCAACTGATTAGGCAGTTGAGGGACACAGTAGATAGAGCACTGGGCTTGATGTTGGAAAGACCTGAGTTCAAATCCCACCTTAAACACTACTTGTGTGACTCTGGGCAAGTCACTTAACCACTCTTTGCCTCAGTTTCCTCGACTGTAAAATGGGGATAATAATGGAAATGCCTGGTTGCCCGGCTTTTGTGAGGATCAAATTAGATAGTATTTGTAAAGTTCTTAGCACAGTGCCTGGCACATAATAGGCAATATAGAGATGTTTATTTCCCTCCTCTCCCTTCCCCCTTGTGACCCTAGTCAAGTCACTTCATCTGTCTCTCAGGTTATACTTGTGAGCCTCTATGGCACCTTCTAGATTTAAATTTGTGATCTAGAGATAAATGCCAGAATGTGAGGCGGAGGTGAAAACAAAACAGTTGAGGGTTACAGTGAAGTTGGGAACTGGACTTCCTGGAAGGACAGTACTGTCCTTGGAAGAAATAGACACATTAGAAAGTATTTTTCTTTCAAATAATGAAGAAATGAATGAAAAAGAATTAAATGCTTGCTATGTGCCCAACCTCGTATACATTGAGGATACAAAAACAAAAGCTTCAATCCTAATGGGAGAGACAACACACAAAGTGAAGTAGAGATGGGTCACTGGGCATAGGGTAGTTGATGTGTCCTATCTGTGGCAGTGAGGATTTGGTCATAGTTCGTAGAGAATAGGAATGAGAGGGAGTTGGCAGGGAGAACATGGCTGAAGAGTGAGGAGAAAACGAGGCATGGTTATTAAGACTTTCTTGAAATAGTGGTCTAGGAGAAGCATTCATCAATCAGGGCACAGGAGGGCCCAGGGTGGAAGTTTCTCTCGGGGTGGCAAGGCAGTTGGTAATGAGAAGATGGCCAGAGATCAGAAAGTTTTTGGGCATGTTGAATTAAGATGTCTACAGATCATCTAGTTGGGAATGCCCACGAGGTAACTGCTAATACAGGAGAAAGGGATCATGAGATTATAGATTTAGAAATGGAAGGGAGACGGCCCAGAAAAGTTGTAACTTTCCCAAAGTCACAAGGGATTGCCAGAGGGCTGTATGTATAGATCTGGGAGTCATCCACATGGAGATAATAGTTGAATCCATGAGATCACACAAGAGAGTATGTAGAGAGAGGAGGGCCCAGAACTGAACCCCAAGATACACTGTGCATGTAGTGGGAGGGACATAGATGCTGATTCAGCAAATGAGACTAAAGAGAGGCTAGACAGATGGGGGGAGAACCAGGAGAGAGCAGGCTCATGGAAATTCAGAGAGGAGAGTCCTCAGGAAAAGGGAGTGATTAGCAGTGTCAAATTCTACAGAGAATGCAAGAGGAAGGCCTGAAAAGCAGAGGCCATTGGACTTGGCAACCAAACATCACTTTCTGAGAGAGCAGTGTGAATAATGAAGTATGGAGACAAGATATCAAAGAGTTAAAAAGTGACTGAGAGGAGAAAAACATGGAAGCAGGAAGTAAAGACAGTTTTTCCCCTAGGAATTTGGCTGTGAAAGAGAAAAGATATAGAGGGGTTGGTAGGATCAAGTGAAAGTTTTTAAGTAAAGCTGGCCTTTTTGGAGATCCTCAAAAAAGGACTTGGAGCCAAGGAGGGCAGAGCTACCTTTGGATAGGCAAGCCCCTCTTTTAGTGTCCTTAAAGTCCTGAAGGAGTTTAGAATTTATCCAAGGGCAATTGCTAAAATGCTGTTGTTTGATCTTGACCTTGAAGCTGCCTGTTAGTGAAAAGTTCAAAGACTGTATGTCTATGGAGCTAATTTGCCCTTGCAGACTGACAGCAGTTCACCAACATCTCGACCAGTGCCAAGTTAGATGCTGCTTGCCAGAAATGAAGAAGAGCATCATCAGCTATGAATCCAGCATTCATTATGAGCCAGGAAAGACCAATCAGCACCTAGATGCCCTGTCCTGAAATCCATGTGATAATAAACCTGGAAGGAGTGAGAGCCAAATGTGGCACCCGGGGAGCTAGGCTACAAATCAAAGGCAATACAACGGACAGTTTGGGATTTCCACCAGGCATCATGCTTGCAGTGCTTATTGAACCAACCTTTTCTGCCTCAAATGTCTCTGCATGATTAGCAGTGAGAGCAGATGGTTCTCAGGGACTGAGAAAAGTGATATAAGCCAGATTTGAACTCTGGGACACGAGTCCTCTTGACTCCAGGCCCAGCACTCTATCCCCTGTACCACCTGGCTGCTTAAGCATGCTGTTATTTTTAAAGCTTTGTCAATGGTGTATTGCTGGTTTGCATTGTTTGCTCTTATGCATATTTGCTTGTGGTTATAAATGGATAGGAATGTGCTGTTGTGATATGTACATGGAATGTGTCTTGTGTGTAGTTTAGACAGGAAGTTTCTCAAACAGCTTGTCAATTGATGCTGTGCGTTGTGCTGAGTCTGTTGTATGTACGATTGATGCACATTTCCTGTGAGTGACACCTTTGAGATGATTACTTAGGTGCTAAGATAGTTATCCTTATACTTTCAGGTGCTAATGTTTACTTTGCTGCTTTTATTGGAATTTGGAAGAAGTTAAGTTTATCATGAGTGATTTTTCAAGGGATTTTAAAATGTTTTAGCTTGGGGGAGAATGTCACCAGCCTTTTTAAGAGCTTCCCCCGAAGGGATTATACAGAGAGCAAGGAAACAGAGCTGCTGCTAGGCTGTCCCTTTTCAAGCCTTCTCTTAGCTCCAAGGACCAAGGGGCTTCAGACTTTACCTGAAGGCAAACTGTCCAGAATATTATAGCTTGACCCTGACTTTGGAGGGGGGGGGAGTTGGAGGAGAGGCAGCAGAAAAAGCCAAGCAAGAGATGGAGAAGCAAGAAAGGAGGAAATGAAACTGATCATAGTGGAGTTCAGGCTTGCAGGGAGATCCTATATGTTGAACTCCACCATGGTAGGTTGAGCTGAGTGATGTTAGATTCCATTACTCAGCAAAAGAAAATCTCAGACTCATCAAGCATCTATCCACAATGTAGGAATGTGTACTGTAGATGAGGCTACATGTTGACTTATGTTATGTTGACTCTCTCATTGACTAATACTTTCTTTCCTGGCCATGAGACTTATAACTGATATCTTCCACCCTTTGTTCAGGGATGTGGCTGGAGCTTTGAGGGCTTGGATTTGGGAGGGAAAAGGGGCAGGGGCAAGGGTTTGAGTAGTAGAAACCTGTAGTGAAAATGGATTCAAACAGGATTACTAACCCAACCTCTGGTTCCTAGATCTGGGATATCAAGGATTACTGTAGACTGGCCAGTGAACAGAAGACGTTCTCTGTCAGGGAAGAAAGAGTTGCTCAGGAAAATATTTACCGGAATTTAACTCATGCAGACGGTCAAGTGGAAATACAGCAGGAACCCCTGGAAACTGAGGAGGTAGGAGGGTTTCTGAATGAATATTCCCCTGATTCCCATTAATAGTAAAGTGTTTCAGTTCCCATTGAGGTGCTAAGGATGGGACTAGAAAGGGGTGGGTGGGACTCTAGTTCCTTTGTGTTTCATTACCAGTTGCCACATCTCTCTCTCTCTCTCTGTCTCTCTCTCTCTGTCTCTCTCTCTCTGTCTCTCTCTCTCTCGCAAAGTACTTTTCAAACCTTAAAGTGTTATATAAACGCTTGCTGTTATTATCATTATTATACATAATTTCTTTTCAATGAACAAGCATGTATTTTTTCTCTCTCTCCTCTCCCCCCCCCCCCCCAGGTGGTGGTAGGGGACAAAATTCTTTCAAGAAATACACATGTCAAGCAAAATAAATTCCTACTTAGGTCATGTTAAAAATGTTGTCTTGTTCTGCTTATTTAATCTATTCCTTCTTTGTCTAGAGGTCAGCATTCTTCATCATCACTCCCCTGGAATCTTGGCTGGTCATTACATTTGATCTGAAGTTTTATCTTTCAAAGTTGTTAGCTTTTATATTGTTGGTATAATATCCATCATTCTCTTGCTTTACTCACTTTCTTCTGTATCACTTCACTCAAGTCTTCCCATGTTTCTCTAAAACCTTCTCTCTCATTATTCCTTACTGCACAGTAGTATTCCATTATATTTATGTGACATAATTTGTTCAGGCATTCCCCATTGATGGGTATTCCCTATATAGTTTACAAATGATCTGTTACATGCATTCTGTTAAGCAGACTTTCTGGTTAGGAATCTATACCTATGGAATCATAGATTCCTGAAACTGAAGTAAAGATAGAAGCCTGAATGACTATTTGTAAATTGAATTTTTCTAAGTTGAATCTTAATTTTTCTATTGATTGACTAAATCAGGACAGCTCAGTGGAGCAGTGGATAGAGCCCTTGGTTGGAGTCAAGAAGACCTGAGTTCAAATGAAGACTTAGACACTTCCTAGCTGTGTGACCCTGGACAAGTCACTTAATCTCTGTTTGTTCAATTTTTTTCATCTGTGAAATAGGGATAATAATAGCACCGATCTCTCAGGGTTGTGAGGATCAAAAGAGATGATGGTTGTAAAGTGCTTAGCACAGTGCCTGGCTCATAATAAGTGCTATGTTAATGTTTAACTATTATTATTATCATTATTATTAAATATTTTTCAGACCCTTGAGTTTCTTGGTCACTTGTTAAACACTTATGAATTACGTATTGAATGTACAATATTATCCTTTTCTAGCCTGTCTATCAAGTGGTTAGTGAGGTGAGAAACCAGGTCATAGCAGAAAAAGAATTAGGAGTCAGAAAGCTTCAGAAGACCTAGCATGGGGTTCTAGCTGGTGCTCACTAGTTTTGAAACTTTGCACAAATCACTCATTTCCTAGAAAGCCTCATGTTGCTCGTCTGTCCAGTAGAAATGGCAAACCTGGCTCTGCCTATTTCATGGGGCTGTGAGGATCCAATTCTGTAAGTAGATATGGAATATATTAAGTCTTTTTTAGTATACTTCCATAAGGTAGCAATGTTGCTGCTATTTAGTGATCCTCCAGAACTGGCTGGTCTTAGGCAATGTTTTTGTAAAGTGAATAGTTTCTGGGTATAGTGGTACACTCCTATAATCCCAGCAATTGGGTAGGCTGAGACTGGCTCTTAAGCTTGGGAATGCTGAGCTGCAGTCAGTGGGCTACACAGGCCAGGTGTGCGTACTAAGTTTGGCATCACTGTGCGGAGTTCCCAGGTTGCCTAAGGTGAATGAATTGTCCATGGCTGAAAAATAGAGCAAGTCAAAGCTCCTGTGCTGATCTCTAGTGGGATCTTGTCCTTGAGTAACGCCTGAATTTCCAACCTAGGTGAGCTGGGGTGACCTGTAAAAAAATAAAGTGAATTTTAGTACCTTGTAGTTTATCTGTTACATAAATCTGGATTTTTTCTTTCTTTTTTTTTTTTTTAGTGAGGCAATCAGGGTTAAGTGACTTGCCCAAGGTCACACAGCTAGTACGTGTCAAGTGTTTGGTCTGAGGCTGGATTTGAGCTCAGGTCCTCCTGATTTCAGGGCTGGTGCTCTATGCACTGCGCCACCTAGCTGCCCCCATAAATCTGGATTTTTGAATAGTGGGTTTCTTTAAAGTTGGGCCCACTTATCAATTTTCTAGTTATTCCAATTTTTGTATCAAGTTAATTAATAATTTCCTTTTCAGGACACAGATTTAGTTTGGAGTAATTCTCTTTATGTAAGTAGGTAGTAGATATATCAGTTTGGATAATTTAACTTTAGAACATTTACTTTAGTCCTATTATATAATTTCATTCATTCATTCAATGAGTGTAAGTTTCTTGAGCTTAGGGTCTGTTTAAATATTGTCTTTGTATTTTCTGTGTTTAACAATGTACTTAGGATATAGTAGGCATTTGACAAATGCTTGTTGACTGAACAAATACTTATTAAGTTTACTATGTGTTATACAGTTACTTTGCTAGGCATTTCAGGGGATTCAAAGTAGAAAAGACAAAGTTCTTCTTCCCAAGAAATATATAATCTAGTATTTTATCTTCACAAAAACTCTGGTAAATGAATATGGGTTATCTCTCCATTTTACAGATAAGTACACCAAGGTTCAGAAAGGATGATTTGCATGTGACTTTACACAGGGAATTGATAGAGCCAATCAGAGACTACAATTCTTGACTGATATCTTTAAATCAATGCTAAACTGAACATCATTATTTTTTTTTAAATTAAAGAGACTGATCTCTTTGGGCTATCATTTTCTCCATCTGTAAAACAAGGGCATTGGACAAAGTGATTTTTAATGAACCTTGTATCACTAATATTCTATGAACCATGAACCTGATCTGTCTCCCATAGGTCATTGGTAGCCATGTCATTTCCCTAATCCCCCCAGAGCTGCTGATCTCCTGGCAGGCTCATGATGACAGTGTGACTGATGTTGCCTTTGGGGACCATTTCCATGTGATCATCAGTGCTGGTGCAGACTTTAATGTCAAGGCCTGGAAGATCTCTGGCGAGGCTATTGGTATGGATGCTTTTGGTGGGAATCTTTTATTTTTCAATTAACAAGCATTTTACTTTATCTTCCTCCTACTCCCTTCCTTCAAAAAAAAAATAAAAAGAGAAGAAAAATAAAACCCTTGTAACAAATATGCATAATCAAGCAAAAACATATTCCTGAATTGATTATGTCCCCAAATGCATATTTTACATCAAGATTTTTGTCCTTCACTTCTTTGTCAGGAGGTGGGTACTCTGTTTCAACATTAGTCCTCTGACATGATTAGCGTTCTTAATTAAACTGGTCTCCTGGTTCTGCTTGCTTCATTCTACATCTCTTCTTATAAGTCTTTTCAGGTTTGTCTGAAACCATTCCTTTCATCATTTCTTATGGCACAATTTCATTACATTAATATACTATGATATTTACTTATTCGTATGGGTCTTTTTGAATCCTTAGCTGTATTTGTCAATTCCCTTAACTCTGCCCCTATTAGAATAATTGTTGCTATTTTGTACCCATTGTCTATGGTGTAATGCTAACATGTAGCCATGTTCTATCAGTGTTATGTGATGGTGAATCATCAAGTTGTGGTGCATAACATGCTCCTGCCCCTCAAACTCAAATTTATTCAGCTCTTGGTTATCTGTTTCAATGGCCAGGAGATTCCTCCCCCTTCCCTCCAGCTGATCCTGCCAAAAAATCCAAAACAAAACAATGCCCTACCACCAAGAATAATCCCAAACAAAACCAACACAAATAGTAATTCTAGATGATCCAAAAGTTATTTCTATTTTTTCTTGGAAATGAGTTGTATGACTCTTTTGGGAGGGATTTGTGTGCGTGGGCTTTCCTTTAGAGTTTTGTCTCTCTAAGGGGCTCTTAATAACATCTTACATGTGCAGGACATTTCACCATTTTCAAAGCACTTTCAGATTTATGACTTTGCTTTTTACAACTCTGTGATGATTTTAGGGTAGTAATTTCCCAAGTGTCCCTGCTGATCTCTACCAGGGGAGTGCAGATATTTCAGAGGCCAATACTGTGTAGTTGTAGATAATTGGGGTTTTGTGTGTGATTCTACACACAAAAGTTTGGGGTTTGGTGGATGACTGCTGTATACTTTTAAACATAACTTGTCTGGTCCTCAATTTCATAGTCTGAAGTTGTAACAAAACGGAAGCAGCATAACATTTTAAATAATGAGTTGAATAAGTAGCAGACAGCAGGAACCAATTTCTTTCCTTTTTTTCCCCCTGATTAGGATTTCAGGTTTTGATGGGGGTGAGTTGGGGGTGGAGAAGAAGCTTCTATTTGTACCCCAAAGGATTCCACACTTTCTCTTTCTCCCCCTTTCTAACCTAAAGTAATCCATGGAATTTAGCAATGTAGTTTAGATAGGATACTGCATTGAGAGACCCGAGTTCTATTCCTGCTTTTATTAGTAACTCATTTTGTGACTTTGGGCAAACCAAATTACCTTTCTGTGTCTCAGTTTCTTTTTCTTTAAAAATGACTCTCCTTGGTGTCCATTTCAGGATAGTTGTGAAGGTTAGATACAACAGGAACATTATTTGGAAAGTAGAAAGAGCTCTACAATCATAGTTATCTTGTGGCCAAGACGACTTAGAAGATCGTCTCTGGGAATGGGAGCCCCCAGTGCAGACATTTTACTTGGGGGAAACTTCTGAACCGTCACTGGAGACCACTCTGCACCCACAGCCTGTGTGCTCTGCCTGGGAGAGAAAGGAGGGAGGAACTTGGTTCCTTCTCTATTTATCAATCACCAAGTATTTATTAATTGCAGACTATGTGTGTGCTAGGTACTATGGATACAAAGACTAATATATTTTCTTGTTGCCACCCCTAGTTTCCCCTTCCCCACATTGCTTTTCCTGTTAGAAATTTCATACCATACCTCTATTTCCTTCTTAAAAAAACATTGTCAAGCACTTCTTCTTCCTTCCATTGGAAACAAAAAGAAAAGAAAAACCTCTTGCATAGTCCAGCAAGACAATATGATATTGGTCACATCTAAAAAGATGTGTCTCATTCTGCACATTAGTCTATGACACATCTGGGTGGCATTCGTCATCATCTCTCCCCTGGAATCATGACTGATTATCACATTGATCAGAGTTCTTAAGTATTTCAAAATTGTTATTACAATTTTGATGTTATGTTATAATTTTTCGCCTGTTTCTACTGACTTTGTGTATCAGTCCATATAAATATTTCATTTTTTTCTGAAACTATCTCTTCATTTCTTAAATCATAATAGTTTTACATTACATTTGTATAGCATAATTTGTTTAGCTGTTCCCCAATTGGTAGGTACTACCTTATTTTCTAGTTCTTTATCATCACAAAAAGAGCTTTTATACATACACACACATACACACACACACCGACACACACATACACATGCACACACACACATTTCCTTATATAGGACCTTTTCTTCTTTTTTGATATCATTGGAGTAGAAGGCTAAGTAGTGGCATTGCTGAATCAGAGGGTATTATAATTTAGTAACTTTTTTTGGGCATAGTTCCAAATTGTTTTTAAGAATGGCCAGACCAATTCACAGTTCTGACAATGAGTTGGTGTTCCTGTTTTCCTACAGACCCTCCAACATTTGTTCTTTACCTTTTTTGTCAGCTTTGCCGACTTGATAGGTGGGAAGCAGAACTTCATAGTTAATTTGCATTTTTTCTAATTATTTTCATTTAGCCATAGCTAGTTTACATTTCTAATGCAGTTAGGTGGTGCAGTGGATAGAGTGTCGGGACTGGAGTCAGGAGGACCTGAGCTCAAATTCGGCATTAGACACTTAACTAGCTGTGTGACCCAGGGCAAGTCACTTAAATTTGTTTGTCTCAGTTTCTCCACCCTTAAAATAAGCTGCAGAAGGAAATGGCAAGCCACTCCAGTATCTTTGCCAAGAAAACCCCAAAGGAGGTTATGAAGAGTTGGACATGACTGAAAATGACTGAACAACAAAGTTTGCCTTTCTTCCCTTGAGAACTGCCTGTTCATATCTTTTGGCCATTTATGAATTGAGGGATGGCTTTTATTCTTATGAATTTGAATCAATTTCTTATTTATTTTGGAAATGAGACCTTTATCAGAGAAACTTGCTGTAAATAGTTCTTCCAGTTAACCATTTCCTTCTAATCTTAGCTGAATTGGTTCGTACAAAAACCTTTCACATTTTTTTATATTTCCCTCCATTCTATTCTTTTATACTTTCCCCCCTCTCTATACTCCCTGGCCACTCTTTACACAGAAGAGGAGGAGTGTGGAAAAGCAGTGAAACCAGCCCCACTGGTCTATACTTGATGCAAACAGCTTCTACCAGCCTGCTCCCTTTATCTTCCCTTCACCCAGACCCCAATTACATGTTCTTATTCTTTATTTCCTTTTAAATTCCTCTTCATTATTCCCCGCCCCCCAATATAGGAATTTTTTTTGGTTATAACAATCTTTACCCTAGATCTCCCTGTGTTTCATTTATCACCTTTCTTCTCTTTCAGTTTCTTCCTGTTTCCCTTTTGAGTTGATTGTATTTCTATACCAAACTCTTTATTTGTGTGCTTTATGCATCTGTATTCTATCCTTCTTTTATGAGTTCAGATGAAATTGAGGTTCAAGTGATACCCTCCTCCTTCCTCATTGATAAAGACTTTTACTTGTGCCATCATAACAATTATATGAGATCCTCCTTCATTTCTCCTCTTTTCTTTCTTACGGCATCCTTCCCATCTTCTTTTAAGATCATCAACATATAACAAAAACCTCTCCCAAGTGACTCCCTATATGACTTCTGATGACATTGTAGTTCTTAGGGGAAGCTTGTATTATCCTCACCCCTCCCCCACAATTAGAAAGTAAACACTTTATTCTTATAAAGGCTTTACCTCATTGCTCACTTGTATTTACCTTTTATGTTTCTCTTTATGTGTGTATGTCAAAGTTTCTATTGAGCTCTGTTCTTTTTATCAGGAATGCTTGGAAATATTAAAGTTCATTCAATAAAAGTCTGTTTTCCTCCTTGTAGCATGATACTCAGTTTTTATGGGAAAGTTATTCTTGGTTGTAAGCCTCTATCTTCCACCTTTTGAAATACTGTCTTATGTCTTTCTGTTTGTTTATAGTGGCAGCTGTTTAATTTTATGTGATTCTGACTGTGGTGCGTTGGTACTTGAACTCTTGCTTTCTGGCTACTTGCCATATTTTTTTCTTTGACCTGGAAGCTCTGGGTTTTGCTATGATATTCCTGGAAAATTTTCATTTTGAGGTTTCTTTCAGGAAATGATCAGTGGATGTTTTCTGTTTTCACTTTGTCCTCTGGTTCTAAAATACCTGGACAGTTTTATTTGATCATTTCTTTAAATACAATATCCAGCTCTATTTTTGGTCAGGGATTTCAGGTAGTCCTGTGATTCCTAAGTCATTTTTCTTAATCCATTTTCTAGGTCAGTTGTTTTTGATGAGATACCTTGCATTTTATTCTATTTTTAAATTTTTTGATTTTGTTTTAGTATTTCTTGTTTCCTGGAACCAATGATTTCTTTTTGATCTATTCTGATTTTTATAAAGTCTTTTACCTGAGCAAAATTTTGTTCCTCTTCCGGTAATTTGTTAATTCTCTTTCCAAGTCTTTTCTTCACAATTCTCCTTCCTTTTTCTAATTTTTTCCTCTATAACTCTCATTTCATTTGTAATATAATTTTAAAACCTCTTACATCATTTCTTCTAGGAATATGAATTGATCTGGTGGGCAAGCTGTGTTTTTCTTTGAGTTTTTGCTTTTAGGTGTGTTGGGGTTATTTTCCTCTTGTAAGTTTGTGTCTTGGGCATCCGTGCTATCGTGATAGTTTTTTTATCTTTTTTTTGTTTATTCATTCTTCCCCCAATCTACTTTAGGCAACCTGGTGTTGCTGGTTTAGTTGAGAGTTCTGGTCTTAGTCTCCAACCCTGGCCCCATGGGGAAATACCTTCTATCCACCTTCCCACAACTATTCCCAGCAGGACGCTTAAGTCCTTAACCTGCCCTGTGTGACTGCAACATGGGGCTATGGGCACTGACACTATGCTCCTAGTCCCTCTGAGAGACCCAAAACTGGTAGCATGGCCTCAGGGTTGAATTTATAAACAGCTCTGCGCATCCCCATGCTGCTACTTTAGCTCTGAGCTCTGGTGTGCTGAGTCACTGCTCTCAGTCACTTTGAGACAGACCTCATGCTACTGGTCTGGACCCTGGGTCCTGTGTTATCTATGATTAGGTCTGGTCATCCCTGTGATACTGGCCTAGCTCAGAGCTCTGGGAATTTGGTCCAGAATTGTGGTTCAATCATGTTTCATATTTCCTATTCTGGTCATTTGCCTGTAGGTTGAATTTTGATCTTGGTAGGAAAAGGTGACCCACTGTAGTTTCTCCTTTAGTTTTCTAATTGCTTCTGGTTTGGTGTTCTCTCTAGGTCATTGTTGGAGTAGTGGTGGTAGGAGCTGGGTTGTATTGTTTCTTTATACTGTACTGTCTTAGTTTGATCAACCCACTCCTATTTTCCAGATATTAAGTTGAAGCCCGAAGTGGTTATATAACTTGTCTAAAGATACAGCAAAGTTGGAGCCATCTGACTTCTGAAATAGCTCTTTCAGAGCTTTGGGGCCTCAGATGAGAGACTGGTGGCCACTCTGAGAATATGCAAATAGAGAGGGAATGGGGAAGCAGGTATAAGAGTTGAGAGAAGAAAGACTTGGTGGGGAATGCTCCTCAGAGGCAGAGAGGGGTTGAGGGAGGATGGAAGGTTGTCAGTTCTAGTTACTGAACTGATTTGAGTTAAATCTCAGGAACCTTTGGCTTGTGCCTTTGGAGAAAGCTTGTGCCTGCGGGGAAGACTGACTTCTACCAAAAACCATCCACCACAGAGCTGATAGCAGTGCCTGAGATAAAGGAAGTCCCTGAGTGGGAGTGAGTAGACCAACTCCAAACTTCTGTAGACTTACAAGGGAGGAGGGTGGTGGCAGGGAAAATCCTCAAACTTGGTATGGCACACAAGTTCCCCTTTCCAAAACTGCAGGACCTTTAATTTGGTTTGGAGCTGGGCTGAGATACATATTCCAGTATTCCAGTGTTGAATCACAGAATGTCTCAGTCAGAAGGTCCTTTAGAACATGGAATGTCAGGTTTGGAGAAGGGCCTAAGAATATATAGATATATTATATATATGTGTGTATACATACATACATATATATATATATATATATAATTTTTTTATTTTTTTATTTTTTTTTAGGCAGTTGGGGTTAAGTGACTTTCCCAGGGTCACACAGCTAGTAAGTGTCAAGTGTTTGGTTTGAGGCCGAATCTGAACTCAGGTCCTCCTGACTTCAGGGCCGGTGCACTATCCATTGCACCATTCATTGCATCACCTAGCTGCCCCAGAATATGTATATTCTTACTCACACATATACATATATGTATATATACATATATGTAGAGAGAGGGAAAGAAAAAGAGAAAGAGACAGAGAGAAGGAGGGAGAGAGAGAAAAAGAGAGAAAGAGAGAGAGAGAGAGAGTGTGTGAGTGAGTGTCAGGCTTGGAGCAGGTCCTAGAGACCATTTTGCTGAATCCTTTCATTTAACAGATAAAGACGCTGAGGTGAGTTTGGAGCAAAGAAACTCCCCCTTCTCCTCCCGCAAAGTGAATAGGGATAAAGACTGAGTCTGTGATTTCCTTGGTATAGGGAATTCCTGGATGAGAAAACTCCCTCTACCAAGGCAGGATGGCACCTTCTCTATAATTTATAATCTTGGTATTGCCCAGGACACTGAAAAGTTAGTGACTTTTTTTTTTCTTTTTGGTGAGGTGATCAGGGTTAAATAACTTGCCTAGGATCACACAGCTAGTAAGTGTTGTGTCTGAGGTTGGATTTGAACTTAGGTTCTCCTGACTTTAAGGTCAGATCTCTATTCACTGTGCCACCTAGCTGCCCTGAGTTAGTGACTTTTTGAGGTTACACAACCAGTATGTGTTAGTCAGAGATGAGACTTAAATTCAGGCTTTCCTAGTTCTAAATCCAGCTCTCCATCCACTATGGGGTACTCTCTCCCTCCAAGCGATGTGACCACCTCTAAATCAGTTATATTTGCAGCTCAGTCCAAGATGTATTTGGCTCATGCAAATTGTATGTGCCCATTTGCTTCTTGTCCCTAAGGGTTTGCCACCTTAGCTAAACAAGACCACCAGCCATGGGAACTTAACCATCACATCCTTCCCTGCACAGTATTGATATCAAACATATAGTACAGACAGTAAAGGCTGCAGGAGTTTAGGTGAGGGAAAGACAGATCATAGCGGGCTGAACAGGGAAGATTTCAAGGAGGAAGTGAGGTGAGCCTTGGAAGTAAGGTGGCAAGATTTGGATAAATGGAGTGATGGGAAGACCCTCCCCGACCCGGGAAACCTCTGGAACCTATTTTAAAGGACTGCTTTCCTTTTCTAGACTTTTCCTGCAAGGTTGGCCTGGGGAGGGATATTAGGAGGGATTGGTTACTGAGCCTGAGTCATTTCTGCCCTAGCAAAGAAGATGAATACACGAGGGTCCTGATGCAGCAGCGCAGGGATCAGATGGAGCTGATGTCCCTGCTGCACAACAAGTCTCCGAAGGCCATGGTCAGACTGAGGCAGTTGGCTGAGCAGAGCGTGCTGGGGTCTGTCAAAGCTGGAGAGGGGTTTGAAGACACTTGGAACAAGTGGAAGACATCTGGGGTGCTGGTGAGAGGGGGGCTAGGCCTTAGGGCTCTTGAGGAGTCCCAATTACCCTTTTAAATCTTCACATATACCTGTGATTGTTTCAGAAAAGTGACATCGTTGGAAGCGCATATAAGCCAAAGGAACGGCCACGCACGCCATACACTCCAATATTACCACTGAAGTTTGTGACAGAAAAAGAGGTCAGAATCCTAGCTAACCAATGTGGGGGGTATTTTCTGGGACTGGGGAATGGAGAGAGAAGTTTCTAAGGGTAGAATAAAAAGAGAGTTAGGTATATTTGATGTCTGACCTGGATGTGAGTGGGGTTCTACCACTCACTAACTGTGTTATCTTAGGTAAGTCACTTCCCAAGACTAAAGATAACCTTCAGGTTTCATCAGGTCTTTCCCTCTCTTTCCTGGCAGATCTATATTCAGATATTCAGATAACCAAGTACAGAGAGAGGGAAACAGAAAGAGAGAGGGAGACAGAGGGAAAAAGAAAGAGAGAAGGAGAGAGAGGGAAAAAGGAGAGAGAGAGGAGAGAGGAGAAAACAAAGAGAGAGGAGACAGAAATGTAAGAAGAAGAGAGGGAGAGGGAAGGAAGGAGAGAGAGATTGAGGAGAGACATGCAGAAAGATGGAAGAAAAAGAGATGGAGAGAGAGAGAGAGAGATGGAGAGAGAAGAGAAAAAGAAGAAAGAAAGAGAAATACTTTGGGAACAGACAAGTAGCCTTACAGGCATGGAGCACTGAGTCATTATTTCCTCCACCAGTAAATAGGAGCTTATGCAAATGCAATAGCCTGAGTTACATTACTACTGAATTATTAAAGTAAGATTAATTGAAAACAATAGCAAAGATGTAATGTCGGGATGACTGTGTATCTATCCTTAAACATGAGTAGAGGTCTGATGCTGATAAAAGTGATGATGGGGTGGGAAAGGTCCAGAAAGTACATTATGGGGCTTGATGAAGAGTTGGGAGGAAGAATGGCAAGTGGCCAACTGAGTGAGTTGGTCAGGCTACAGTGTGGGAGAGGAGATCCTAAGGGAGTATCCTGAGTTGGACTGCCTTCCATGAATACTGTGGACTCTGAGTCCTATTTGTGTCTCATCCCATCCTGCTTCCTACTTCCAGCCTACTTGGGAAAAGCTAGAGTCAATGAAACCACAGTGAGAATTCTTTTTATTTGCCCTCGTTAAGGAATTCAGTATACCGATAGCTCCAGATGATTGAAACTTACCTCTCTGAACATGGAAACTTTTTATACTTTAGTGAGGTTTGAGCTGTCTTTAAGTTCATTTATTTATTCGACAGGCATTTGCTAAGTGCCTATGGTTTGCAGGGCCTTGTGCGAAATGCTGTGCGGAATAGAAAAACTTAGGTAGGATAATTCCTGTCCTTACAAACTGTAAGAGACATAAACGCATAACTATTGTGCTCAAGTCAGAGATTTCCAGGAATGCAGGCAAAGCCTGACACTAAGTTGCAATAGTTATTGGTCTAAAAAAAAAAGACACACATGTAAACATACATGTATATATGTGTCTACATGTATGTGTATGTACATATACATATATGCAATACATATATGTATATAAATATTGATTTAGTGGTTGTACTCACTTGGATAGGACATGTACTTCATTGCTATATTGGGGCTCTACATTGGTGTGGTTTTGGGAAATAAAGCTGCATCCTTTAACTGCAACCCAGGCAACTGATATTATCCAGGAAATAATTTGGTTCTGGATGGCCCAAAGATGTTAGGGGTTATGCCGTTTTATGCTGAGACAAACAGAGTTGAAACCTTTTGTAAATGTACCAATTTTAGGGAAAGTAAACCTCAGATGTATCTGGACTCACCAATCATTAAGAAGGTCAGATAACGTTAAACAGAGGAGTGGGTAGAATTCTTTTAGTAGTTGGGCTACTTACATGGATATCCATTACTTAATCTAGCTCTGCCTCAGAATGCTGTCCCACTTCCTTTGGTGCTGGCTAAAGAGGCCTGAATTAATAATTGTGCATTAGTATATAATTAATACATAATTATGTGTTAATTCATTAATATGTTAATGAATTCATATATAATAAAGATAACTCACATTTCTTTAGACCTTTAAGTCTTACAAAATGTTTTCCTCACCACAGCCCTTTATTATTCTTATTTAAAAAATCAAGAACTCAGTCCCAGAGATGTAAAGTGACTTGTTGTACAATTAGTGACTGTCAGAATCAGGTCTTAGATTTAAACTCAAGTCTTTGGGCAAAGTTATGTGTGAGACCTGAGGGGATGTGGTCATTAACCACTAGGAGCATCTGGGATGACTTCAAGGAGAAGGCATTTGAGTTGCGCTCCAAGGGTAGATAGAAATTCGATAGCTGTGGAAGGGTAGATAGATAGGTAAAGCATTTTTTAATCACTTACTCGATTTCAGGTCTTGAGGATACAAATATAAGTGAGCAAGATAGTTTTTGCTTACAAGAAACTGACATTCTAAAACATAAAGAGAAGCTGGAAAGAGGGGATAGGGTGGCAGCATGTTGTGGAGGTGTCTAGGAAGTGGCATAGGAACCTGCTTCTGGGGAAAGTGAGACAAAAAGCTTACCTATAAGAGCCCATTCCAGGGGTGGAGTACAGAGAATAAATAATGCGAGCAAAGGTATGGAGGCAAGAGAATTCAGGACATGTTCTGGGCGTAGAGACTAGATCAATTTGGCCAGAGTGTATAAAATGAAACTGTAAAGTTAGGGTGGTATCAAGTTGTGGGAGGCCTTGAATGTCAGGCAAAGGAGTTTGGACTTTATGGGTAATAGGGAACCATTTAAGATTTTTGAGTAAAGGAGTGACATGAGTAGAGTGAAGGACATGAAAAATTTTTTTGGCAGCAGTATAAAAGATGACTTGGAAAAGGAAGAAAGCCATGTAGGAAGACTTGTTAGGAAGCTCTTATAGTAGTCCAAGGTGGGTGGTAATGAGGGACTTGAATTGTGGCAGTAGGAATAGAGAGGAGGGATGAGAAAGATGATACAGAGGTGGAATCATCAGGATTTGTTAACTCATTGGAGATTAGAAGTGAGGAAAAGGGAAAATTGAATATAACCTCAAAAGTTCTAAATTAGAAAATTTTTTAAAGTATCATGTTTTCTTTTTTAATGTGTTTTTATTTATTTCATTAAATATTTCCTAATTACATATAAGATTATTTTTAACATTACTTTAAAAATTTTTGAATTTGAAATTCCTTCTCTCTTGCTCCTCCCACACCCCTCGAGAAGGCAAACAGTATGATGTTGATTATATAGGACACACGTTTTCTTAAGCAGAGGATATGTTTACCATTTCTTGCTGGCTCTGAGTAATAATTGTGAATACCAATTATTATTCTGGGTTGTACTATTCTCGTGGACTAGTGCTGTGTGTGTGTGGTTGCTTGCCCTGACACTTAATGGGTCCTGACTGCTGGACTTAGTTCATTTCTTCGGTTTTTTTTTCTGTTATAATTTTTCTCTTTTCCTCATTGTCTAGCTGTCATCTATCACTTCTCACTGATCTCAGTGAATTGCACAATAAACTTTAATAGCCCTAATGTTTTCTTATAATTTGCTTAAAAAATATCTACTCTGAGTTTGGAAATCAAATTTCCAAGCCTGTTAATACTGCACACACAGTAAGTCACAGGAGCACAGAATGGAGAAATGGGATGGACTTGGAAATCACTTTGTCCAGTTCTCTCATTTTATAGGTGAGGAAACTAAATCCTAAAGAGAGCAAATAACTTGTTCAAGATCACACAGAAAATAAGTGGCAAAGCTGAGATCTGAACTGAAATCTTTAGCCTCTAAATCTAGAGTTTGTTTTTTTTTTTACCAAATTCTGCTGCCACAGTAAATTCTGAGTGAAGATCTATTATTTCCTATTACCAGAAAGTCCCCAACTACTATTGAAGGAGAAATAAAATATTAGCAAACTATGCAAGGGCATGGTAAAGCTGTTACTTTACTATTACACTTTACTATGTTGCTATTGTAACAACTACTTGCCGTCCTTGGATAAGAAATCCTGCAGTTTTATCTAAAAAGGACTTTCACAATTGTAAAAATATTTGGTCATTTCCCCTTGTCTCCTGCCCAAGTCTGATAAGAAATCCTTCCACTTGTATTCCAAATGCTCCCATTCTCTCCCTTGAATGATTCCCCTCTTTCTCTACCCCTGTCCTGTAAAACACTTATCTATTCTAAGTTGCTGTAGAATGTGACTGATTGGTGGTATACTGAAAGGTTATAAATGCCATATCTGTACCTTAGCAAATTGAATCAGTTATCAGTGAGCTCAGCACAATAATAAATCTCTTTGTTTTCAGTTTGGTTTCCTATCTTTGCCCTACATCCGATGATGAGTATGTCTCTCTCCAGAGATCAAGAGAACTGCCCAACATTGGTGCCCCTGCACCATAGACCCCCTATGCTGATTTTTTGTCTTTCTCTGGTTTTGTGGTCAGATCTCACCTTGGGTCTATAGGAGCCTCCCTTGCAAAGACCTGCAAGATTTGACCCGATCCAACATGGCCATCTTGAAAACAACTCAGATTCCAAGGAAAAAACACGTCTGGCTAGTCACCCAGCAGATCATCAGGAGCCTCTCTCTGATCAAACAGATGCCCATGATGGAAACTCCCATCCAGTCACAAAGCCTCTCTTTCTCCAGCCCATTTTCATCCAAGACTTCCTCGATCACTTCAATATCTTCTTTGAAGCTGTCTTCAATCTCCTCCCTTTCTTCGTTAAAGCAGTCATCAGTCTCTTCAGCATCAGCAGTCTCAAAGAAACTGTTATATTCTTCCTCAGTATCTTCCAAGAAGAAGGCAACTTCAAATTCTTCTTCATCCACGGCCACCAAGTCGTCCATCACAATCAGTTCAGTGCCTTCAGGGAAGACTTCAACCCCAGGCTTAAATAAGCCTTTGAAGTCAATCCTTAAAGTGTGACCTGGTTAGGCTGCCAGCCCAGGCCCCTTCTCTCAGTGAAGCTGCCAGCCCATTGAGATGAATGTAAGAAATGGATGGACTCTTTGCTTACTTTATCAGACCAATTAAAGTGTGGGCTTGGTTGCTCCACTCTACCCCAATATCCCTTCCCAGAATTATTCCCCTCCCCCATTGAGACCTATGTGTTACTTCTTCAGGAGAGAGAAATAAATTTTTCTTTTGGGGTTCCTTCATACTCTCAGATTAGGTTGTATTATCCCAGGAGGTGTGGGGAGAGGGAGGAACCTTTTTCTCAGAGGGATGGATCATAGTCTCATCTTCTAGTTCCATCCTGGACCTAGAGTTCCCACATAACCCACTAATGGGGCCATGTTGATGTTTGATGTGACCATGTACATGGTCTAAAGACGGAGAATGTAGCTCTGTGCCAGAGTCTTTAAAAAGTTTGCCAGATTGTTTTCAGTCCTCTGTAAATGAAGACTATTTTGACACTAGTCTCTTGGCTGTTCCACAAACAAGACATTCCATCTCTCGGCTCTGGTCATTTTCTCTGCCTGTTCCCCATTTTCTGGAATGTCCTCCCTTCTCTGTTCTGTCTACTGATATTCCCTGGCTTTCTTTAAGTCCCAACTAAGATTCCATCTTTTACTAGAAGCCTTCACTATCCCCTCTTAATTTTAGTGCTTTCCCTCTATTTTCTATTTATCCCTCGCATAGTTTGCTTTGTATATATTTGTTTGCATGTTGTCTCCCCCATTGAATTGTAAGCTCCTTGAGAGCAGAGACTGCCTTTTGCCTCTTTTTGTATCCCCAACATTTAGAAGAGTGTTTTTCATGTAGGAGCTTAATAAATTTTTTTGAGTGAGTGATTGATGATTTTAAAATATCCCAGGCCTGGAGGTGGGAGTGGGATGAGGTTATAGTATAAAAGCTGTTCAGGGGAGGGGCAAGGTCAATATGGGATGGAATGGTCAGGGAAAATATTATAGGGGAGGAAAAAGCATTGGGTTTGGAGTCAGAAATCCTGATTTTGGATTGTACATTTTGGGCAAGCAATTTCTTCAGTTTTGGTCTCAGTTTTCTCATGTGGAAAATTAACAGGGCTGGACTCAATGATCCTACAGATCCCTTGAAACTCACACATATGTTCTACACACGTATGTTCTAGATGTGACAGAAGAATAGCCTGAGGGGTGGGGATTGGTGGTAGAAGGCAGATGGTAATTCCTGTCCATTTAATGTTGATGGGAATGGGGAGGGGGCACATAGATTGATGGCATATACATGATTCTCAGATCTCTTTTTTGTTCTTAAGTACCAGCTGGGAGCGGGTGGGGGGAATTTCAGCCTAATTTGCTCTATTTGGGGCCTTCTAGGATCTTGCCCAGTAGTCATGGGTCATATCAATTATGTTGATAATTTACCGTACAATGTGGAAAGCTTATAGAAGCTGAGTTGGAGAGCATCTCAGGTCCCATTTAACTACTTAATGTAGGAATCTCCACTGTATTACCCTGATGATATTCCTCTAGCTTTAAAAATTCCCAGTGTTTGGGGATTACCCTTCCAGATATTCCATTCCATTGACAGATGGCCCTGAGGGTTAAGAAGTTTTTCCTTAACATTAAACCCAAATCTACCTCTTTGTAACTCCTCAAACTGGTCTTAGTTCTTCTTCTAGGGATACCCAGAGCAAATCCAACTGCGGTGAGATGAGAAGAGAGTGGGGAACCTAGAGCCTCGCTATGTCTATAAATTCCCTAAACCTTATATAGACACTGAGAATAATTTTGTGATTCTAAATACTGATAAGGTAACACCTGGGCTCGACCGAACACAGGGAAAATATAGTTCCAGCCAACTCCTATGGCCTGGTGGAAACATTCAGGGAAGTCTGTTGCTTCAGATTGAAACAGGCCTCCTCCACCCTAGAGAAGCTCCCTGGACTCACGACCCACTCCTAGGCTAAAGGTGCTTTTTTGGGGGCAACTGGGAGACTGTGGATTATTTTAATCCAGCTCTGGATTTAGAGAGCCTAGATTCAGAGTTCACCTTTTATAGTTCCTGCGCAATCTCACGCAAGTCACATAACTTTCCTGGGCCTTAGTTTTCTCATCTATAAAGTGGACTAGATGGTTTCTGAAGTCCCTTCCAGCTCTAACTCTATGATCCTGAAATCGTTCCCGTCCTGAAGGAGTGAACTGGTCCATCTGGTCTGATTGTGCTCTCGTTCCCTAAGACGCGTACTCTCCATGCCTCTGTTGTGAGATCTAGGGCGAGGGTGGAAGTAATGGCTGCGGTTTATAGATACAGCTGGTGAGTATCGTTGGTTATGTGAAGCCTTTGCCATTCTTGCCAAAAATTCTCCTGCCCAGACCCTTCCCTCACTTGGCGTTAGGCATAGCACATCTGCATTTTTCCTCAAGATAATATTTACAAAAAATAATTAAAGGTAAGTTACATGAACCTCAAATAATTCCCTGGACCCCTCACAGGGTATGGATCTGTAAGTACAGAGGCCAGAGTGGGTATAGGTGTAGGGGGTGGAGTATAAAGTAGAGCTGTAGGTTGGAGGCATTGTGGGGGCAGAAGCGGGAGTAGCACATGTTGGAGGTATGGAGATAGAGTTGTAAGGGGGTTAGAGCTATATGTGATGGGGGAGTGGTTAGGACTGAGTTGTAGGTAAGGGTTCTGCTGCTGCTGCTGCAGCTGGTGGTGGGAGGCAAGGCGGTGGGGAGATGGGAGGATCTCTTGGGGGGAAATGAAAGCTTTGGAGGGGGCCATTTACATTGTACCTCATCATAGGATTTTAGAGCTGTAATGGATCCTAGAGCTTACCCAGTCTTCCAAATGAGGAAACCGGGGATCAGAGAGGTAAGTGTCTTGGCTAAGGTCACACACATAAGTAGTACGAGTCAGTCAGCAAGAATTTATTGAGCGCTTATTGTGTGTCAGGCACTGTGCTAAACTCTGGGGATACAAAGAAAAATAAAAGGCAGTCTCTCCCTTCAAGGAGCTCATAGTCTAATGGGGAAGACAGCATACAAATAACTGTGTATGTATATGTATGTGTGTATGTGTGTATACATATATGTATATATATATATGTTTATTTTTGTTTAGTCATTTTTCAGTCATGTCCAATTCTTTATGATCTCAGTTGGGGTTTTCTTGGCAAAAGATACTGGAGTGGTTCACCATTTCCTTCTCTAGCTCATTTTACAGATGAGAAAACTGAGACAAACAGGGTTAAGTGACTCCCCCATGGTCACAAAGCTAGTAAGTGTGTGAGTCCAGATTTTAACTCAGGAAGATGTTTGCCTGACTCCAGGTCACAGTGCCACTTGGCTATTTATCTTATTCAGGATAAATTGGAGATAATCAACTGAGGGAAGACATTAGCATTAAAAGGGATTGGGACAGGCTTCTTGTAGAAGGTGGGATTTTAGTTAAGACCTGAAAGAAGCCAGGGAGGCCAGGAGATGGAGATGAGGAGAGAATTCCAGATATGAGGGACAGTCAGTAAAAGTGTTTGGGCTCAGGAGATGGAGTGTTTTGTGAGAAGGACAGCAAAGAAGTCAGTGTCATCAGATCCCAACATATGGTTGTAGAGAGGGGTGATGGAGAGTAAGGTGTAAGAACATTGGAAAGGTAGGAGGAGAGGGGGCCAGGCTATGAAGGGCTTTGAATACCAAATAGACAAACTGAGAACTGAGAAAGACCTTTAAAAGGCCAGGGTATCCCACTGCATCCAGGGCTGCTGCCAGTTGTCTTCACCTATGTGTTACCACTGGACTCTGATAACTCTGGAGGAGAGAATGAGGCTGATGACTTTGCACATCTCTGCCTCACTTAAATTGAATTCACTTGCAAGTCAAGACACCAACCCTCCTGATATCATTGGTCCTCTTCAAGAACAAAGTACCACCACCACCACCACCACCATAGAGGATTTTAGAAAGTGTCAGAGCCAAAGTCTGAACCTTCTGGCTATCTTTGAAACCACCTTATCTTTGGACTGTTAAGTCTGGCAGGTTATGGTCACCTTGACCTAGGCTAAACTTTAAAGAGTTGTTTCTCTGTTGATCCTGATTGACTCTTCCAGAAGGAGAGTGACCTACTTAAATGGGGGCCACGAATCTGGAGACCTTAGCTCCCTCAACCCCAGGACATTCCTGAGCTACAGTCTAGTTCCCTGACCAGATTCTCACTGAGTCTGACCGTGAGTTGTGGGAGTTTGGGTATGGGTATGGGTAATGGTGGTGGGGAAGGAGATGATGGAGATGATTGGAAAGAAGAAAGAGAGGAGTGATTTGATTTATTTCAATGGAGAAGTAATATTTACTCCCTTTGTTACACATATACAATACTTCATAGTTTACAAAGTGCTATTACGTCATTTCAGGTTATACACCAACCCTGTGAGGGAAGGCAAGGAAGAGAAAATTTCCAGTTTAACAATTTGATAGACATATAATCTCACTGATATGGGTATTCCTAACTATGCCTTCTATTCCTGTGAGTCTATTGTCCCCATCCTTCTGTAAATCTTAGGGGGGTCCCTCTTCTCATCACCATTGTACTTATAGGGCTTCCTTCTATGTCACTCAAGATGGTAATACTAATGAACTGTCCTAAATTAGCATACTCGCTTCATGGCCAGCCCACCTTCTTTCCAATCTCTGATGTTCTCCATTTAGAGATGAGGAAATTGATGTCCAGAGGGAGGTAAGTGATTTGCTCATATAATGGGTTACTGGAAGAGCTGAGACTATAATACTAGCCTCCTGACTCTTATCCTGTTGGAGAGGGAAAGGAGGGTGGCAGTTTATCCTCAGTTCCAGAGCTTGAGAGGTCATCAAGATGATATGAGAAGAATCCTTTACTGAGAGTCCTGAGACCTGTGTTTTTGGTTTCTAGCTTTCTTTTCCACCCTGGGGGGAGATTTCTTTCCAAATCTGGCCCTTAGTTTACATCTCTGTAGAATAAGAGGATTGGATCAGATGATCTCTAAGTTTTTTCCGGCTCTGATGGATGAGGTGAGAATGTAGGGAAAACAAACTGACCTGAACAAGAAGACCAGATCTTTCTTATACCTATTGATGAATATTGCTCTTCCCAGAAATGTCTGATCAGCGAATGGTCTATCTCAGGAGACAGTGAAGTCAGCAAGTCTTCATATAGAGGCTGGATGACCATTTCTAGGGATGCTGTAGAGGGGCTCTCCGATTGGGGGTGGATTGGTTTAGACACCCTTTGAGGCTCATTCCAACTTCTTGTGTCTTGTCTTTGTGAATGACCTTTAGAACTTGCTATAAATTCTTTAAAAAATCCCCAAACCTTTTTTTTAATATCTTTTATTTTTATACCACCCCTTCACTTCTGAATATATTGCTCTTTCTTCCTTGTAACTAAGAGTAAAAAAAGGAAAGGGGAAAAATGTTCAGTCAAATTAACACACTGATCAAGTTGGACAGTATGCAATGTTTCACAGTCATATTGCTCCCATCATTGCAAGGAAGGGAAGGAAGCATACATACATATATACATATATATATATATATATATTTTCCCTATATTTCTGCTGGGCCAAGTTTCATCATTGTAATTACAGAGTTGAGTTTTGTTTCTTTGTTCTTTCCATTTACGTTGTTGTAGTCATTGGGTACCATACTGTCTTTTGATTACCTTTACTGAGAGGAAATCTTCATTTATTTAATTTGTATGAATGGCCTAAAGTCATTTAATGCTAAGACTGGGCAATAACAGGGTTGGATGAGCAAGTGGCGAAATTCCTTTGAACAATAATGACTGATTTTCTTATGTAACTCAGAATCTGGTTCTTGGTATATCTTGATAATTGTGCAAAGATGTGTGTCTATGTGTGGGTGACCATTTCCCTTGCTTGTTTTTAGTCTTTCCTTTCTTACCTTACACTAACTATTCTCCCCTATTCTCAAGACCCTGATGCTTTAGGAATCTGTTTCCCACACACAGCTTGTTCATTCTTTTCGGCCCATGGAATGCCAGTACTAGACTAGATCAAATTCTTGGTGCCTTCACAATCTCCTTCTTGAGAGCTTCCCATCCTTTCTGTGTTGACTTCCCCCATAGAGTTTTAGTTTATGGGATCCTATCTATCCTTTATCCAAATACTTTGAAATCTACTTTCCCAAAATCAAAGATGCATTTCTGACTATTCCTGGCTCTTCTCTCCTTCCCTCTAATGTTCATATCCTTTATACCCTGGCAATTTCTCCTTGTTAGTAAATATCAGATACAGAGTTGAAGTTCCCCTGTTGATACTCCTCCATCTTTTGAAGGATAAAATTATCATAATGAGAAAAATTGAGAAATTATTAGTTGCTCACATATCTTGATAATTGAAATCCCTTAATACTTCTACATCCCACCTTTGTAGACTTGTAATGTTTTCTGAACTAATCATCTATTATGTCTTTTAAGTCCAGGTGGTTGGTAGTATACTGACAGTATCATTTCTGTTTTCACTTCCATTGACCTTCCAGTCAGTGCTTTCCATTGTATTTCCCCACTCTGGTTCTTGAGTTTCCTTACAAGAGGATGTCATCTTAATATATGCTACTCAGCTCCTCCTTTCCTGATCGTATTCTTTTTCCATAAGTCATGCTCTTCCATACCCATTTTCTGGTCTTGGGTCACAACCCATCAAATCTCACTTGTGTCTTTGAGGTTGGATTGTATAGAGAAGTTAAAGGAGGGCTGAGGGTGAGAAGAGACTAAACCAAAGTGCCATAATGAGTTTATGTTAAAGCTGGATTTGAACCTCAGGTCATCTCACTCCCAGCTTTCTAGTTTGGTGCTCTTTTCTGTTATACAACTTGTCCCCTTGTCTTTTCCCTTGTCATTCTTGTTGTCTGGGATACCCTTTTCTTCTCTTCAGCAACTTCTATCAGGTATCACCTTCAAATCTTGTCTTGAAACTCACCTCTGAAATACCTGTGTGATCATGGGCAATGATACAGGTCATTCTTTACTATGTGCAGGCTGTGCTGTGCCAAATGACCTCACTTATTTACTCTGTTTGTGTGTAAGTGCTTCTTCATTTAGTTTGGATGGCATCCAGGAGCAGAGGACAGCTTTGTCTCCTTTGTCTTAGGTTTTGGTCAACATTTGTTTCTTCATTGGGCATCTATTGGATGACTCTTAAGTTGTGAGGGATGTAGCCTCTGCCCCTGAGCTCACAGTCTAGATGGGGATATAAGACTCACTTGTTTGAAAAGCTAACTTACCAGTCCTCCACTATCTTCCAATTATTGCTCTTTGAGGTGTGGAATAAACGCAGGGTTATCAAAAGCTTTGCCAGTAGAGGGCAAGCTCTGGTAAGTCTGATAAGATGGACTGTGTCTAGCCAAGTGTGGAGAGGCTGCTCACCATATCGTTGATTACTAGGGGATGAATAGCAGTTCATAAGGCATGGAGGAGTTGGGACCTACACCAGTCGGTAGAGGGAATACCCACATGGAAGAAATCATAGGACCTGTAAGTTTAGAATCAGGAGATCACAGATTCAGAGCTGAAAGGGATCTTAGAGGCCATCTAGTCCAAACAACCCTCTCAATTTATAGAGAAAGAGCCTGTGGTCCAGAGAGATGATGTCTTGCTTAAGGTCATATAGGTAATGACAGAGAAGGGATTTGAACTCAGTTCCTCTGACATCAAACCAAAGCTCTTTGCAATGTGCTGCCAAATAAGCAGAATGGAAGAATTAGAAGAGACCTGAGTGATCATCCAATCTAACACCCTCTTTTTAGAATTGAGCAAAAGAGCCCTGAGAAAGAAAGATACTTACCCAATGATCATCCAGTGAGTCTGGGGCAGAGTGGGGACTAGCACCCTGGGACCCCAGATCCAGGGTTGGTACCATCCTACTTTGCTCCTTTAGTCCATGAGGGACAGGAGAAGAATGGGTAAAGGGGTCTGACTTTGAGATGGTAGTGGGCTCTTTTCTCCTTCCCTGACCTATAGGCCTGGCTCACAGGACTTCTTACAGGCACTGCAAGGATGTGGCCGTTGCTTGGGTTCCTGTGGGGCTGTAGTCTGCTGAGTTGTGTCCAGGGAAATGGAGACTTGGGAATCTTATGCACCATCAGTGAACAGGAGATTCAGAAGGGTGAGTGATGACTCAGTGTTTCCTATCTGGGTCCTAGGAGATAAGTGGAGACTGTAGAGATGAAACATAATGCTTCCCAGCTTCTCCAGACCCCAGGTCAAGGCTGGGGTGTCCCATATTTTCTCTGAGTCTCTTTAGTCCCTTGCATCTACAGAAGGAAGATAAGGATTCATGAGAGAACTGGATAAGGATTGACTGAAAGACCCAATTGGGGATACTTTGGAGAAGAACTGGAGATATTTACCCTGGGGTAGAGAAGACTTGGTTGAGGGTGATGGGTAGGGATAGTCATAAAGGCTGTCTTCAAATATTTGAAGGTCTATTATTTAAAAGAAGGATTGGAGTTATTCTGTTTGGGTACCAGAGTACAGAGCTAGGAACAATGAAGAGAAGAAGAGAGAGAGAGTTTGGTTTGAACTATTTGGTGACAGCTTGGCCATTAGAGCTATCCAGAAGTAGAAATAGGCTGCCTTAGGAGGTAATAGGAGTCTGTCACTGTAGGTCTTCAGTTGGAAACTGGGTACTCGCTGGTTGGAGATGCTATCGAGGAGATCATAGATTTAGAGCTAGAAGAAAGGTCATCTTTATCTTCAGAGGTCATCTAAATATGACATTAGGTCAGGCATAGTCTAGACTTGATAGCCCCTGAATTTCCTTCCAGCTCTGAGATTTTGTGATTTTGTGAACCACCAGGGCTAGTTACCAGGACACCAGACTCCTGGGCTCTGGAAGTTCATCTCCTCTTGCTCTCTTTTCTGTCACCTGGGAAAGGATCCTCAGGGTGCAGTGGAAAGAAGGCTAGGTTGGAGAAACATAGAGGATCCAGGTTCACCTCTTGGCTCTGCTAGTCACTACCTGTGTGATCATGGGCAAGTCACTTAACCTCTCTGTGCCTCAGTTTTCTGATATATAAGATGAGTGAGTTGGATTAGATGATGATGATGATGTTGATAACATTTATATAGCACTTTAAGGTTTGTAAAACTTTTTATAAATGTTACCTCATTTTATCCTCATGACAATCCCAGGAGGTACTATAATTATCCCCATTTCACAGATGAGGAAATTGAGAAAGACAGAGGTTAAGTGATTTACCCAGGATCACATAGCTAGTATCAGGCTGGATTTGAATTCAGGTCTTTCTTACTCCAGTTCCAGCATTCTATCCACTTTGTCACCTGACTGCCTCTAGATGACCTTTGAGGATCCTTTTAGCTCTAAACTTATGTTCTTATGGCTCATTGCTCTTACCTTCCCTACTCCTCACAGGATTGGACAGAATTGGACATTTTATCCAATTTTCTAGCCAATCTTCTTTCAACTTTTTCAAAACCCTTTCAGCAAAAGGTCATAAAGAGTTCTCAAAGGTCATCAACCTTAGAAGGGGAGGAATGAGCTTGGGAGCCTGGCCTTCAGGGTCTACTTCTTCCTCGCTGTCCAAAACTTCGCATAGCTGGAAAAAACCTGATAAAATCATTCCTGATAAAGGGTGCTTGATTGATTCTTTCTTAGTAGGTCCATTTCCCCAAAGGAGGATTTATTCACTTTCACCCAGAGGAATGAGGGGGAGGTCAGAGAATCATGAGGTCATAGATTTAGTTCTGGAAGGATTCATGCAATGCAACGGCAGGTAGGTGAAAGAGAGGCAGGTTTTTGATTGAGATGGGAGGCTGGGGTTTGTCTCTTCCCGGATCTCCTTTCCTAGGTGGAAACCTTTGCCAAAGAATAATCAACTAACCAATCACTCAGCACTTATTAAGTGTCAGGTATTGTGCTAGGCACTGAGGATGCAGTGACAAATATGCAATAGTTCCTGCCCTCAAAGAGCTTACATTCTAAGGGAGGAGACAACATATATGCAAGATCATGGGATTGTGGGATCCAAGTGCTCGAGTTGGAAGGGGCCTAGAAGACTATCTAGTCCGGTCTTCTCACTGAGGGAATGGAGGCCCAGAGAAGTTAAGGGAGTGACAGAAGCAGGGCTTGCACCCATATCTTCTGACTCCAGAGGCACTGCTATTTTCCCTCTTTCCATTGACCCTAGATATATGCGCCCTACACTTCTAAATTCTCAAAGTGTTTTTGCATCTCTTATCACATTTATTTCTCATAGTCATCCAGTGGGTTTGACAGAGCAAGTGGTATTATCTCCATTTTACAGACTAGGAAACTGAAGCCTTGGGAAGGAAGTTATTTCCTTAAGGAGACCCAGTGAGTTTGAGGGAGGGTCAGATAAAGACCTGTTTAACCTCAGGTGACAGGAGGTGTGGGGCACTCTTCTCTACCTTTGCTTGGAGTTCCTTGGTGATCTCTTGTCTCAGGACCCTCCTTCAGGCTACCTCTTGGTCCTTGACCTCCTCCCTCTCTCCTCCAACCCCTTTTCTCTTTTTCAGCATGGAGGGACAAGATTATTGGAGGTGGAATTCTGGAAAAGCAGCTGAAATTGGTGCAGCTGCCCAACCTGGGATATGGGGGTGGCCTCTTTGGCTCTCTCTTGTCTGTTACCAAGTGAGTAACATAAACTAAGGGAGGTCATTAGCTTCTTCCCCATTCCCATTTCTAGACCTTGGTTCACACCTTTCCTAGTCCCTGGAAATTTCTCTCTCTTTCCTCCCTTCCAGATACCATCCACCCTTCATGGCCCAGCTCAACTTGTCTTGTCTGACAACTGTCTTAGATGCCTTCTTTTACTGCCTGGCCCAGGGGTGGGGAACCTGCGGCCTTGAGGCTACATGTGGCCTTCTAGGTCCTCAAGTGTGACCCTTTGACGGAATCTAAACTTCACAGATAAAATCCCCTTAATAAAAGGATTTGTTCTGTAAAACTTGGGCTCAGTCAAAAGGCAGCACTCAAGGACCTAGAAGGCCACATGTGGCCTTGAGGCCGCAGGTTCCCCACCCCTGGTCTGGCCAATAGTGAGCTCTAGCCCCTCATAGACCACTTAGAGCCTGGAGTTCACAGTCTCACACCTAGTCCCCTGTGATCTTGTACTTTGTCATCATCCCACTCCTGCTAGCCTTGCCTCTCCAGTGAGCCTGGGAACAATAGGTCCTAAAACCTGGGACTATGTCTTTCCCTTAGGCTTTCCTATTGCGGGCAGGAGAGAGGATTTGGGGGAGGGTGTTGGTACCTTCTGAATGTGCGTAGGTTGCTCTGTCTGGCCCTTCTCCTCCATCTCATCCCAGGATTCAAATTTTTAACCTGCAGCCTGAGAATTTTCTCCATTCAGTTCTTTGAGATCTCAGTCAAGCTCCACCCCAATCTGGGGAGCCAGCTCATTATCCTTCTCAAGCTCAATGTAGATGGCAACTGTTAAGCAGAGCCCTGGGCTGGGTAATTGCTCCCTGGGGAGATGGAGGAGGGGAAGGAACCTACTTCAGGTGGAAGGTTTCTAGAGATCCCTAGGGAGTAGGATGGGTTGATGGCCCTGCCCAGTCAATGGGACCACTAGGCTCCTTCATTAGACACTATGATCTCCTTCTTAGGGACTTCAAAGGTCTGAGCAGAAATAGTCAACATAAGAGTCAGGCCTGATGATATCTAGTATCCTTGAATTATTTAGTTTGTAGCAGAGTTATAGAATCATAGAATCTTGGGGCACAGAATGTCAGAGTGAGAAGGGACCACAGAACATAGAAAATTAGAATATAGACTTTAGAACTAGAAGGGATCATGGGAGTCAATCTAGCTTTTTTTAAGGCCAATCTTGTAACAAGGAAGAAAAAGGAGAGAAAAAATAGTTTAGCAGAACTAACCCATGCATCAATCATCCCAGTCTGTCAGGATGTGCAGTGTTCTACACAGGCAGTTCCTTACCTCTGTAAAGAAGGGAAGGAGATACTTGTTGATTGAATAATCAAAAACAGTCTGTGCATTTCACACATAGCTCCCTTTCCACAGCTTGCTCAATCTTCTCTCCGGGTTGATCAACATCTCTGTGGACCTGCGTCTGACTGTGGACATCTGCCTAGGCACTTTTTCAAAAGAGACAATACAGTTTGTCCCTAACAACTGTTCCACGACTGTGGGTACCATTAATGTCAACCTCCTATCAGGGTAAGGGCTTTGTCATCCTGTGGGGCTGCTCACTGTCCGTTGGGTAGAAGTCCTGGCATCTGTTGAGTGAATTGAGGAACAGTCTTTATTTCAGTCATACTCTGCAGGCAATTTTTGGCTAAATTGCATTCTTCCTAGAGTTTATATGAAAAATTGGGATAGAAGCCTGCCTGTGACCTTCTTGGCACTAAGGGCTACCTATTGGGTCCAGTGGTTTAACTTAACATACATCTATTATGGGGATGAAATGTTTCATCTTTTCTTTGAAGGGAATGTCTTTGAGACATGTCTCTGGGAATGAGGATGAACTTCCTCATTTGTGAGGAAGCCATTTACACTCTTGCCCAGTCTTTCTCCGGACTAAGGAAATGGATTCAATAGGCTCATAGGAACCTTAGTGATCATTCAGTACAGGTTCCTTATTTTTCAAAGAAGAAAATGGAGATCTGCTTGTTTACTGGGAAGGGACTTGCCCAAGGTCATGTGGGTAGAAAATAGTAGAGGCAGGGTTCAAACAAGTCCTCAGGTTGCAAATCTAAGCCTTTTTCTCTTATATTATGTTCTTTGAAGTAGCTTATTAGGATTTTTTTTTTGTTCTTAGTCCATGAATGTGAAAGAATAAGCACTGGATGAGTAAGGGGACTTGAGTTTTAGTTCTGAGTCTATTCCTTGCTACCTCTGTGATACTGGGCAAGTCATTTCCTGTTATTGGGTCCTAGCTTTCTCATCTGTAAAATGAGGAAAGTGGGCAAAATGACCTCTAAAGGCCATGTGATTTCTTACCATGCACCTCACTGCCAATGGTAAATTTCCTGATTGCTCTGACTATACAGCTCCATGACCATTTTTATGTTCAGTCATTTTTGGTCATGTCTGACTTGTGACCCTATTTGGGGCAAAGATACTGGAGTGGTTTGCCATTTCCTTCTCCAGCTCATTTGACAGATGAAAATGAGGCAAACAGGGTTGTAACTTGCCCAGGGTGACATAGCTAGCAAGTGTCTGAAGACAGATTTGAACTCAGGAAGGTATTTTCCTGACTCCAAGCTTGGAGCTCTATCCACTGCTCCACCTAGCTGCCCTTTCATGACAATATGTACATGTATATATGTATATATATATGTACATATGTATATGTATATATTTATTGTGTGTGGAAAAACAGAAAGAGAGAGAGAGAGAGAGAGAGAGAGAGAGAGAGAGAGAGAGAGAGAGAGAGAGAGAGAGAGAGAGAGAGAATAAGTTAGTTTCCCTAGGAGCAATGTGTCATCTCTTCTTGGACCCTGCTCTGTGAGCCTGGGTCTCCCACACTCTGCTCATACCTTGGTAGGGCAATCTGTCTAGTTCTTCTGTAATCTTGTTTCTCCTCCTTTTTTTTTTTCAGCCTGCTCCCTATCCAAGCTCAAGTGTTAATTGGGAATAGCCTAAGGGGGATGCTACCATGCTTGGTAAGACTGCTTCAGGAGTCCTGCTTTCCTTTTCTCATTGCTTTTCCCTCTCCCCTTCCTGCTGGCCAGTGACTCTATGATCCCTGGAGAACTTGGCTATCAATAATAATAATAGCAGTTGACATATCTAGAGCAATAGCATTTACAGAGCACCTTATACTCAGCTTATTTTCAAGTCAATTCAATTCAATAATTCAATGAACGTTTATTAAGTGCCTACTATGTGCCAGACACTGTGCCAAGTGCTGAGGATACAATAAAAGGCAAAAGACAGTCCCTGCTCTCAAGGAGCTTACAATCTAATGGGGGAGACAATATGCAAATAAATATATAAAAAACAAGCTACATATAAGATAAATAGGAAATAATTAACAGAAGGAAGGCACTGGAATTAAGAGGGATTGCGGAAGGCTTCCTGTAGGAGGTGGGATTTTAGTTGGGACTTGGAAGAAGTCAGGGAGGTCAGTAGTTGGAGTGTAGGAGGGAGAGCATAACAGGAAGGGAGGCCATCCAGGAAGAATGACTGGAGTCAAGAGATGAAGTATCTTGTCAGCAAGCACTTATTTAGTGCTTACTGTGTACAAGGGACTATGCTTATTTTGATCCTCACAATGGCCTTAGGAAGTAGGAAATGAAAATATTTTTGCCCTCATTTTAGAATGAAAGAAACTGAGGCTCTGAGAAGTTAAATCAATTGATCAAGGTTGTACAGCTAGTAAGTGTTGGATCTGAGACTAAAACCCAGGTCTTTTGATTCCAAAATAAGGGCTGTTTCCATTAGAGTGGCACCATTGCTACCTCCCTAAAATTAGTTTGGTACCCTTAGGTTCACAATCAAATATGTAGCTCCCTAGAAATGCTGAATAATTTCCCCAGGGTCAACAGCAAAATGGTACCAGATTAGCTGGGCTCAGTTTTCTCCAGCCCTAGATTCTCAGTCAGTGGCTCCCTCTTGTGGCTGTGTTGACTCTGGTTGGCACAGTGCAAGGTTTGAAGAAAAATCCTCAGAGCCAAGTGTCTTACATTTTCTTAATAATAGCTCACATTTCAATAGTGCTTTAATATTAAAAAAGACCTTTTTTTTTTAACAATAATCCCATGAGGTATCTAGTGTAAGTATTGTCACCCTCATTTTATAGATAAAGAAACAAGCCCAACAGGGAGAAGTTATTACAGTGACTTGCTGTATCTCCTACCTCCCAGACCAGCATTATTTTTTCCATATGATGAAACCACCATCTAGCACAGATCTACACATTCTTTTACATTCTTTTAAAAATTTTATTTATTTATTTATTTGTTTTTAGTTTTCAACATACATTTCTACAATATTTTGAGTTCTAAATTTTCTCCCCCTTCCTCCTTTCCCCCTTCCCCAATATGGTGTGCAATCTGATATAGGCTATACATGTACAATCATATTAAATGTATTTCCATGTTAGTCATGTCGTAAAGAAGAATTAGAGTCAAAGGGAGAAATCACGAGAAAGAAGAAACAATTAAAAAGAGAGAAAACGGTATGCTTCGATCTGCCTTCAGATTCCATGTTCTTTCTCTGGATGTGGACAGCATTTTCCATCATGAGTCTTTTAGAGTTGTCTTAGATCCTTGTATTGTTGAGACCCACACATTCTTACCATAGTGTTACTGGCTGTGTGATTACCCACTCATTGAGCAGTTATTTGTGCTAGGTTTGGGGGTAAGTAGGGCGAGGGGCAATCTCTAATCACCACCTTTATCCATAAGAGCTAGCATAGCCAAGGACCCAGAATTAGCCATGGGTTGAGCCCCAGAGGCCCATCTATCCCAGGACTGTGGGAGTTTATTCATTTATTCGTTCATTCACTCACTTATCCATCCATCCTTTCAGTAGTTCATTGCCCCAACACTGTGCTGGGTATTGGCTTAGTTCCTTTATACTTCTTGGCAACCTCTGGGCCTGATGCCCTAAAGAGGCAGTAAACATCAGAACAAAGAGGGCGATTGCTGCAGAGACCCTGGGTTAGAAGAACCAAAAAGTTCTACTTAGTGTAAAACATTCCCTTGAACAGGACAAAATTAGCTTCATTCTTATTTTAATATTAGCTGCCATCAATATTGAGGAGTTTGTTATATTGGCATAATTTTAAACATTGTAAGGTGTTTAATGGTGTAATTTTAAACAACAATAGTTTAATACATTGGAGGGACCCCTGATGGCTGTGTTGTCTCGGGGCCTGCCCATCTTTTTTCAATCTGCCTCCTGCATAGATCTTTAGACTTGTCCAAAGTAAGGTGTCCTAATCTGGTGGTAGCCGAGACCAATGACTGTCCCCTCTCTGGCCCTGTATTCCTCCAGATTTGTCCTGTGGCGAAGGAGGCCCTGGTGCAGACCACCGTCCAGATGTTCAACTCCATCAGTTGTGAGTTGCTGGCTTCCCCTCTGACCCTGTCTTGTATTTCTCCAGTCCAAAGCTTCTGGGCTTCAGATCAACTTCTGCTTGCTCTGTGATGCTAGTGGGGCCAATATTTGGGCCTCCTTATTTAGAACACCACAGATTTCCTTTTCTCCCTCCTCCCCTCCTCTACGCCTCTCTTCTCCTTTTCTCTTCCCTTCCTTCCTTCTGTTCATTCCCTTCTTTTCTCTTTCCCCTTTCCTCCCCTTTTACCTTTCTTCCCTCCCCTGCCTATCTCATCCTTTCTTGAGACTTCTCAGGCAATCTACCAGATTTTCTGAGCTCTGCCTATGCTTGTCCCTCCCCTTCTCAGGCCAGAGGTTTGCTGGAGTAGCTCAGAGAGTGAATCGTTAAACTTTCAGGGTGAGCACTATACTTCTGATGTAGCAAATGCTACAAATATCAATCAGAGCTTGACATATTATTTTGTTGATTGTCTAGGCTTAATAAAATTATTGAAAAATGCCTTAATAATGTAGATTAAATTTAGAAGTGTATTCTATGTACATTATTTTTTTCCCAGAGAGCTGATTATTAAACACTTGCAAGTACACCCCTGTTTACTTGGGGAGTCACAAAGGGCAGGTGTACCATAGGCCTTTAACCAGTCTTGTCTCTCTTCCCCTTCCCCTCCTTCCCACCCTATCTTCTCTCCCTGTGTTCCTATAGCACTGGCTCCCTTAGGCACACTGGGGACAATCCGGTACACACTTGCTGAATCCCCTGCCATTACAAGCCAGACTGTGGATCTTAACATCAATGTGAGTATGGATTTTTGGAGGTTGTGGCAGAAGGGGGATGCTAGGAGCCCTTCTTTCAAGCTTAGCTTTCCTCAGGGCTCTTTACTTCCATGACACAAGGGGCTTTGGGTAACTGGAGGCCCCCCCACCCATATATACTCCAAGCTTGTTGATCTCACAGTCAGGTCCTCCAGATGTTTGTCCTAGGATTGTGGTAGGGGTGTGGAAAGACAGTCTCTCTCATCCATTCTCCCCCTGCCCCCAAGCTTCTGATGATGCTATGCCCAGGAACCTGCAGGAGTCCAGGCAAAATCTCTATGTATGGGAATGCTGTTGCCTATTTCTATTGCTCACTGCAATCATTGTGAACATTGTTGGGTGGCCCTTCCTTGGGGCCATGCCTAGAGGGACTTGGAGGGAAGGTGGTAGAGTCTCAGGTACTGCTGACTCTGTCTGGATATATCTCTTCCTCTTTCTTTGCTCCCTTCAGGTTGCTGTCCGACTGATGGAAGGCAGTTCCGTTAACATACCTGCCAACTCAGCCCAGGTTGCCCTTCCAAAACTGGATGGATACATGGTCTCCTTGAGCATTTGTCAGTACTTCCTATCTGTTATCCTTTCCATTCTAATCAACCTTTCCCCACCTGTGTTCACCTGCAATCAGGAAATGGTGAGCCTGGCACCCTCTCTTGACAGGGATAGCATTTCCAATCCTTCAAATTCTGATTTCAGTCTGGGTTGAAAGCTTTAATTGCTACTCCTGATTCTGCCATCAACCTTCCTTTTAATAAAAATAGAATAGTATTATATCTGGTGGTCTGCCTGCCAGAAAACTCAGCCTTCTGGGGAAAAAAAGCACCACTACTCAAAAGTAAGCATCAAAAGCTTCTGAACTCCTGAAATAGTCACTTCTTTTATTATTATTGTTGTTTTTGTTACTATTTATTATTGTTACTACTATCATTGTAGGAGACGTCCTTACTGAGAGCCTACTTATTCTTACTTTATATATAATTTTTAATAATATTCTATTTCCCCCCAATTACATGTAAAATTTTTTTTAACATTTTTTGAAGTTTTGAATTCCAAATTCTTTCTTCCTCCCTTCCCCTCTCCTTGAGATGGTAAGCAATCTGATATATGTTATACATATGCAATCATGTAAAATAGTTCCATATTAGTCATTTTATAAAAAGAAAACTCAAACTATAAAAAGAAAATGAAAAATAGTGTGCTTTGTCTGTATTTAGACACTATCAGTTCTTTCTCTGGAGATGGATAGCATTTTTCATCTCCAGTCCTCTGTAATTATCTTACATTGTTGAGAATAGCTAAGTCATTCACAGTGGTCCTTCATACAATATTACCATTACTGTGTACTGTTCTTTTAGTTCTGCTCACCTCACTCTGTACTAGTTCATATTAGTCTTTCCAGCTTTTTCTGAAATCTGCCTGTTCATCATTTCTTATAGCACAATAATATTCCATTATAATCATATACCACAATTTGTTCAGCCATTTCCCAATTGATGGGCATCCCTTCAATTTCTAATTCTTAGCCATCACCAAAAAAGCTGCTATAAATATTTTTGTACACGTGGGTCCTTTTCCCTTTTTAAAAAAAAATCTCTTTGGGATACAGACTTCATAAGTGGTATTGCTGGATCAAAGAGTGTGTGCGTGCACACGTGCACACACACACAAACACACACAGAGCTCACATTTCCATGTTACATTACTCACAGAAATCCTATGAGGTTTGTAGTTCATGTATTATCATCTCTGCTTTACCACTAAGGAAACTGAGACTAAAGCATTGTGTCTTGCCAATGGTCACAGATGGGGCAAGTGTCAGAGCCAGGATTTAAACTTTGGTAGGTCTGCCAACCTTATTCTCACATTGGTTCCATCTTGGAACCTCTGGGGTCATTTGCTCTTTCCTTACAAACTGACCTGTAGTCAGTTTGAGTCGTATTGCCATTCTACAGATAAGGAAATAGGTGCATAGAAGGAAAGGAATTTGTCTGTTAGTCTATTAGATCTAGTTAAGTGTTGGGGGCAGGAATGGAACTCACTTCTTCTGACTCCAAATCCAGGGTTGTTTCTCCTACAGCATGTCTCTCTTGTTTCCCTTACACACACACACACACACACCACCCTCGTGCACGTGTGTATATACACATATAAGTATATATGCACCCTTTCATGAATATATGTGTATATATGTTTATACACATAGGATATCCCATTCCTTGAAAATTTCACTATATCAGGTGTGACTGGAACCTCCTTCACCTCCCGTCCACATAGGGCTTTGCAGTTCTGTGAGGGAAGCAAGGTGGACATTAGGGACAAGAATGGAGACTGGACCTCAGGTTTCATTGGCATGGGGAGCTCCTAGTTGGGGAAATTCCCTCTGTGATTGCAGTTTTGCACCTTCTCTGCAAACCATAGGCCTACTGAGTTGCTTGGGAGATTAAGAAGTTAAGTGACTTTCCTAGGGTCATACCACCAGTATGTGTCAAAGACTAGATTTGAACTTGGGTCTTGCTGGCCTGAGTTCCTCAGCCAGCTGAGGATGGCTTTCTATCCCCTATGCCACACTGTTTCTCAGTGGCTGGCCTTTACAGGTGAAGAAACAAGCCCAGAGAAGGAATATGAATTGTCTAAAATGAGACAATGGTTGGTCATCTCTATGGTCCCTTCCAGTTTCGTTTTTCTAGGTATCCATAGAGGTTACATTAGTACCATAGACTTAAGGATGGGAAGGACCACAGGGATCATCTTGGCCATCCCCTTCATTTTAAAGATGAAGAAGCTGAGGTCCAATGAGATCAAAGTCACAAAGGTAGTGAGTAACAGAGCCGAGACTTGAACTCCGGCCCACTGACTCTATATCCAATACTCTTTCCTTTGTAGTTTATGTTCTTCCTTGATCTTTCATTTGGGACTTTTTCTTAAATTTAGCAAAGATGGTCAAGACCCTCCCCAAAGGGCTCAAGTTGGAGTTTTGTAGGTGACTTCTAGGGTGCTGGAGTGGGTGCATGGGAGGTAACCACTGGGAAGGTGGGACCAAAGGAATCTTTATCTCTTCTCATGCCTAAGACAGAAATAAGGGAAGCCTTGAGATATGTCACTAAGAAGTCAGCTCCCTGAGAAGGTATGGGAGGAATTGGGGGATGAGTACTTCCTTCTGGGTTTGGAGGCTCCTGGGCTGGTCACTTTTATTTCTTCTGATGACCAATGAAGGGTCTGGTCTTATAGTTGAGGAGGTATAGGGAGATGGATAATATCAGGGCATCCATGCCTCTCATTTAGTATTATTTCTCCCTTTTATTTTCACAGTTTTCTGAGTGTAACCAGCTAAAGGATGCAATCTTTCCCTCGATTCCATCCTCGGTAAGCACTTTTCTCACTGTTACGGTAATTTGTAGGAAGATGGACCTCAAGAAACTGGGTTATTCACAGGGTTGTGCTGGTAAATATTTAACAACTGGCTCTCCCTCCCAAAAATGTACCCATGACATACTTTTAAGCTTAATCTGCATGATTAACATTTCTCCATCACTTTCTTAAGTTTAGGAAATCAACAAGACAATGAATCAAACCCTGAGTGGTAGTTTGCCAATTTCTGAGGTGTAAATGCTCATATTGAAAATTTAACCATTATGTCTCTTGAGCTGGTAAGGAACTGGTTCCAGTACACCCCTGGTTATTCCATTGCCAAAATGGAACCTGAGTTTTATGTTGCTGAATATCTTTCCCTCATCTTAGGCTGGTGAGCTTTGTTTTGGCACCCATTTCCACGAACCCAGAATCTCTAGGCTCAAACTTGGGCCAACCCTGAGAGGTGCCTATTGGTGTCCTATGATTGGAACTTCTGATCTTGCCTTCCTTTTATCAAAAGCCCTTTGTCTCATCCCTTCAATGTAGTGATCCTAGCAGCTGTCGAGCTGGAAAGGATCTGATTAGTTTGCCCACACTTAAATATCAGACTGATGATGGCTTATAGTTCATCACTCTGAGGGGCTTCAGATGGACTTTCAAATATCTTTCCAGTGTTCTCCATGTCCCTCATCCTCACCGCTCATTGTGAAGCTGGTCCTGTCAGAGCATCCCTTGATTCTGTTGGAGGATGGCAAGGCCATGGTCAAACTGTTTCTCATCATCCAGCTCTTCCTCCAAAAGGCAGATAACACCTTCTTTCCCCTGATGGTGCTGAAGGCGGTAAGGCCAGAACCGTAACAGGCTGGAGAGGCTGGTGGGTCATGGCTGTGCTCACTGAGTGAGGGAGAGGGGGAGGGTGGCATTGTGAAGGTGAGAGGCTAGGACCAAGGTGGTCTGGCAGGTGGGCAGTGATTATTCTCAGGGTGGGGAGGGGAATTTGTCTTCGGTGCCCTTAATTTTACTTTCTCCATCCATATCTTCCTCTACCTTTCCCCAACCCTCCAACACTCCCTCAGCTCTCAATAGAATATAACAAATATATATTAAGTTTCTACTAGTACTGTGCTAGGGTCTGGGGTTGGTACAAAGATTAGTGAAGACTCAGTCCCTGACCTCATGAAGCTTATGGTTTAGTAGGGCAAAGACTCTTTTGTACTACCTTGAATTCTTTATCCAAAATTGCCTTCATGAGAGGAGCTAACAAATTCATCCGCTCTAAGGCATGTGGAACAGACAACAGTTTAGCATGTGGACCCTTCCCAGGTGGATATTTCTATTATAACACGGTTCAAAGGAATGAAAATCTTAATGGTGGCCCAGTGATAGGTTCAGTAGTCAGCCTCATATTGCCAATGAAATTCTGTTGTTTAGGTGGTTTCCTGCTCTGTTTATGAGTAACATCAGTGTTGGTAAGGTGGAGTAGAGGAGGGAGAATAGCTGTTTCCTAGGTAGAGGGGCATATTAGGAACACAAGATTTATCCATGGGTTGTTGTTCGGTCATTTCAGTCCTGTCTGACTCCATGACTCCATTTGGGGTTTTCTTGCCAAAGATACTGAAGTGGTTTGTCATTTCTTTCTCTAGTTCATTTTACAGATGAGGAAACTGAGGAAAATGGGGTTAAGGGACTTGCTCAGGGTCACACAGTTAATAAGTGTCTGAGGTCAGATTGGAACTCAGGACTTCCTGACTCCAGGCCCAGCCTGGAGTCTACCAAATCACTTAGCTGCTCCCTGGGAGCTGATCATTATTGCTCATCCCTTTACTTTGATGTTGCAGGATCTCTTCCTGAAGGCCAACTTTGTGGTTTCTGGATGCAAATTGATGATCTCTCTTTCACTGGAAAGGTACTGGGCACGGGGGCTGGGCTGTCCCCTGGGGGATGATGGTAATTGGAATCTGTCCCTGTCTGTTGAGGGAGGAGGGGATTTTATTGACATTCTACATAGTCCTTCTATCCCAGATTAGTCAGAGTCCAAATAAAAGATGGAAGGAACAAATCTGCTGTCCACTCTACTTGATCCTTCTTTCCCTCTCTTGCCTTAACAGTAATTAATAACGACTCCCATTTTTATGTCACTTTAAGGTTTGTAAAAAACACTTTATTTGTAACCATGCTGTGAGGAAAGTAGGCCAGGCATTATTATCCCCATCCTGCACTGGGGGAAACATCACAGAGAGGTTCTGACTAGTCACCCAGCTGGTAAGGGTCAAACCCACACAGCATTCTCTAGTTTAGCCTCCTCCCTGGGTCTATCTCTGTTGTTTCCTGAGAGACGCCTCCTTCTTTCCACCTTCTAACATCAAGTCCATCATTCCACCTCACACACAAAGGCACTCTCTAGGAGACAAGTCCCCTTTAAGACTCTTCCCAGAGCCCTGAAATAGGTGAAGCCAAGATAGTAGGGGTGGGAATGGTTATGGGTTGTGAGGGTTTGTACTGAAACAAGCTGATTGGTCTCCAGAAGGCAAAGTCTGACAAAAGGATCAATCAGACCTAGGACAGCAGTCAGTCAATCAGTCAACAAGCATTTATTAAGTGCCTACATGTGCCAAGGACTGGGAATACAAAGAAAGGCACAATCATGTTCCTGCTATGTAATAGTGAGACAATATGGAAGAAATTATGTATATACAAGATATACATATCTAGTGAAAATGGGAAGTAATTTCAGAGGGAAGGCAAGAAAACACTGGGGCTGGGGACTGTGGGGTTGGGGAAGGACCAGGAAAGGCCTTCTGCAGAAGGGGTGATTTGAGCTGAGACTTGAAGGAAACCCAGGCAGCCAGGTGAAGGAGACCATTCCAGGCCTGGGAAACAGGGAGTGAAAAAGTCTATAGCATTTGGAGATGGAGCATTGTGTATTAGAAACAGCAAAAAGGCCAGTGTCACCAGTTTGTAGTGGAGTGTATAAAGAAGGATGGAGTAGGGAGAGAAGGAAAGCACTGGGTTGAGAAGAGCTTGCAATGACAAAGAGAGGATTCCACATATATCCTGGAAGTGATAGGGAGACACTAGAGTTTACTAAGTAGCAGAGTGATGTGCTCAGACTTGGGCTCGAGGAAGGTCACTTTGGAGGATGGCCTGGGGTGGAGAGAGACTTGAGGCAGGTAGACCCACCAGTAGCCCATGAGATGATGAGGCCTGTACCAGGGTAGAAGCTATGTGAAAAGAGAGAAGGGGACCTATAGAAGAGATGTTGTGAAGGCAAAAATGACACAACTTGGCAATGGATTGGATATATGGAGAGATGAGTTGAGCATGACACCAAGGTTGTGAGCCTGGGTGCCTGGAGGGATGATGGCATCATCCACGGTAATGGGAAAGTTTAGAAGAGAGGAGAATTTTGGAGAAAAGATAATGAGTTCAGTTTTAGACATGTTGAATTCGAGATGTCTATGGGATGTCCAGTTGGGTATATCGAGTTCCCCCAGTTGGGCAATTGGTGGTTAGATATTAGAGCTCAGAAGAGGTTAGGGCTGGATGAATGTAGCTGAGGAATCATGAACCCACGGGAGCCGAAGAGATCACCAAATAAGATAGTATGGTGGCAGAAGAAAGGAGGGCCCATGAGAGATCCTGGAGGGGGGCTGGCTCTCACCATTAATGGGAATGACCTGGAGGAAGGTCTAATAAAGGAAACCGGAAGTGGTCAGACAGACAGGAGAACCAGGAGAAAGTCGAAGAGGAGTAGACAGGAGAAGAGAGAGTAACCAGGAGAAGACCATGGTCAACAGTGTCAAAGGTTGCAGAGAGATCAAGGATGAGGACTGAGAAAAGGCCATTATATATGGTGGTTAAAAGATTACTGGCAACTTTGACGAGAGCAGTTTTAGAGGAGTGATGCTGCTGGAAGCCAGACTTCAGAAAGTTTAGAAGAGAAGAAGAGGAGAAGAAGCTGAGGCACTGAGTGTAGACAACTTTTTCAAAGAATTTAGCCATAAAAGGGCAGAGACTCTGTAGGACTATGGAGGAAACTTCTGCGAGTTTGTTTTTTTTTTAAGGATATGGAGATGGGTGTATATTTGTAGGCAGCAGGGAAGGAGCCAGTAGAGGGGGTGAGATTAAAGATTAGTGAAAGTGAAAATGGTAGAGAGGATAATCTGTTGGGGAAGATAGTATGGAATGGGATTGCATGTCTAGACAGAGGGGTTTGCTTGGGCAAGGAGAGGGGCCACTTCACTATGGGAGTGAAGATCTGGTGCTTACTCACCACCCTCCATCCTTAGAAAAGATCATGACATACCGGGGAATTTGCCTCCATCATATTTCTGGGCCCCGCCCCCCTAGGCTAAGGGACCCTTCTGAGAAGTTGAGAGCCAGGGACTGCTTGGGGATAGGAAATGGGGAGCCAAGTCAGATTGAGGTTTTTTTATCTGTAATTTTAACATTCTCCTTGGCAGCATCTCCCTCTTCCTGTCATCTTCATCAGTGGGAAGCATTGAAGTAAGTACTTAATTTGGAGAAGTGTGTGTGTGTGTGTGTGTGTGTGTGTGTGTGTGTGTGTGTGTGTAGGGGGTCAGGGAAGAGGATCCAGAGCTTAGATGAGCTCCTGACTTTGTTATCTTTCCCCACCAGATCCTCATGCCTTTGGGTCAAGGTTTAGGGGAGAGGTGGTAGCAGACCTTTTCTCTATGTAGAAGGTGATTGTAGGGAAGACAGTTGAAGTTAGGGCATTTGAGACTGGTAGTCCTTTCCTAGCTTTTCCAGGTCATCTGGAGTAAAGGATCTAAGACCTGGGTAAAAACCCAGACTCATCCTCTGTGCCTGGGGAAGGGCTTCTGGCAGAGTCTCTGCTTCAGGTTACTCTGATCACTTTCCCTTGGGCCTGAGATTTGAGGACAGTGGTTTTCAGAACATGGTCCAGGGACTCTTGAGAGTCCTTGAGACTCTTTCATGGGAGTCTATGAGGTCAAAACTATTTTCATAAAAATACTAAGGATCACATAGTGATCATCAGAGATGATATTTGAACACAGACCCTCTGTCTCCAGAATCAGTGCTGCTTCTATTAGGGTGGGACAGAATTGTGTGCATGTGTGCGTGTGTGTGCATGTGTGTGTGTGTGTGTGCGTGTGTGTGTGTGTGTGTGTGTGTGGTGCGGGAGGGGTGAGAGTTCAGAGGCAAGCTGGAGGCAACCCTAACCAGCTACCCAGATTACTAATTCTTAATTTTTAAATTTTCATTTCTAACATGCTAAATATCCATAGATAAAATGCACATAAACAAAAGCTCTTTGTCGGGGGAGAGGAGTACTGAGATAAACGTTTGAGAACCACTGATCTAAGGGGATATCTCAAGTCATTTGATGTTTTAGGTCTGGGGAGTCAGGATGAGGGCCAGGAAGGAGTAGGGGATAAAGGTGCAGTTCAAAGGATCATCGTTTGAGAGCTTTAAGAGACCTCAAAGGACTTTTAATTCAAAATTTATAATTTTATAGATGAGGAAACCCAGGCCTAAAGAAGTTAGATGACTTGTCCAAGGTCACATAGTGATCATCAGAGGTGGGATTTGAACTTCCGTCCTCTGACCTTGGAATTAATGCTGTATAGGGTGAGACAGGTATGTGTGTGTGTGTGTGTGTGTGTGTGTGTGTGTGTTTTACGTGGGGTAAGAATTCAAGGATGTGCTAGAGCCAGCCCTAATTAGCTCCCCAGAAAACTGATTGTTAAATTTTCAGTGTGAACATTTACATACACCTTAGAAATCAGCAAACCCTACAAATCAGGGCTTGATTTATTAGGTTTTTTTTATTGTCTAGACTTAAGAAATTAATGGAGAAAATGTTGATAATAATGCAGATTAAACTTCAAATTGTGTTCAGCACACCCCTGGGTGGGACCATGAGGTGATGGTAGGGATGAGAGTAAGGTCACTGATGGGGTAGAAGATGGAGGCCATATATAAAGGGTTTAGTATATAGGGGGGAAGACTGTGGGAACCAGGAGTCAGGAATAGCTTTAGGCAAATCTAAAAGACCAGGAGCAGGGGATGTACAAGGGAACTGGGGATGGGAGAGGGTGAAGGGTGGGAGTTAGGATGATAAAGGGAGACAGGAGAAGAAGTAACAGTGAGATAGGAGCATAGGCTACGGATGCAGTGGTAGCCCTGGGTAAGAAAACAGGGGGAAGCTCATAGAGTAGATAGGAAGGGGATTCAAAGGGGCTGAGGTTAACAGTAAGGAGGGAGGAGGGAAGTCAGAGTAAAGCTGAGACATTTTATCCAAGACAACTTACTCCACTTTTCCCTCCCTAGGTATCAGGTCTCAATCCAGTGATCAGCAAGCTCCTGGAAGATCTTTTTGTCCCCAGCGTCAATGGTGCGGGACTTGTTGGCCTTGGTGCCAATTGCAGGAGAATAGGCACATGCTGGCCTCTTCCCTCCCTGCCCATTTAAACTAGGAGCATCATGGCCCAGTAGGCTCCTGGTTCAACTGCTTGGTTTGCTCTGTGGGCCCCATTGTCCTGTTTATCTCTGTGATCTAGTTCCTGTCCTCTCAGTACTACCTCCTGCTCTGTCCTTCTTTCCCCCTCCCCACTCCCCCACTGCCCCTGCCATGACTTCATTGGCCCAGAAATAAGAAGCTGGGGACAAAGGTACAGTTCAAAGGATCATAGATTGAGAGCTTTAAGGGACCTCAGAGGACTTCTAATTCAAAGATCTAATTTTATAGATGAGGAAACCAAGGCCCAATCCAAAGGGCACTTTCCCTTGATCCTCGAGATGATGGCCCTCAAATCTCCCTTGCCATAAGTAGGGAGGATAGATATTGTGCCTAGTCTTAAAGTGATAGTCATAGAACTTCACAGCTAGGAGAGGTCTTAGAACATGGAACACAGAATGTCAGTACTGGAAAGGACCTAGAAGACCATCTGGTCAATCCTCTAATTTTAAAGATGGGAAACTGAGACTGAGATAAGGGTGATTGTTTACCTAAGGTCACCAAAAGAATCAGGATTAGAACTCAGATCTCTTAATTCTTAACCCAGGGTTCATTCCCCTGTACTGTATTTTCTCTGGTGTGCTCAGTTAAGGTTTTAAGGCAAAAAGAAAATCACTGAATTATTCTATCCTTGAGGAAGACTCAGCCTCAGCAGGACTTGGGCTCCAGGCTATTTTTGAGGGAAGGATTGTATCAAACTCTTCATACTCTCTTGTTCTCTCACCTCTGGGACTGATTGTCAAGTGGCCTGGCCAGTTTTGACTGAGCCAGCAGTGAAGCCATCTGGGCTGGGTGGGATGGAGGGAGAGCTGATGGTCATTAGTATCAAACTTGAACGTTGAGGTTAACTGTGGCAGATGCTACTGCAGTGTGAAGAAGGATGCATGACTGTTCTAGGCACCAGGGGTTAGGGGAGAGGATCAGTGACAGAATTCCTGAATTTGAAGTTTCAAATTTAGAAAAATAGAAAGAATATATAGATAATAATGAAAATAGCTAGCGTTATATAGCACTTTAAGGTTTTTTTTTTTTTTTTTTTAGGCAATTGGGGTTAAGTGATTTGCCCAGGGTCACACAGCTAGTAAGTGTCAAGTGTTTGGTCAGAGGCCAGATTTGAACTCAGGTCCTCCTGACTTCAGGGCTGGTACTCTATCCACCACGCCACCTAGCTACCCCGACTTTAAGGTTTTGCAACGCACCTCTGCATATGTTTTCCTCATATGATTCTCACAATAACCCTGGGAAGTAGATACTATTTTTATCCCCATTTTGCAGATGAGGAAACTGGGGTACAAAGAGATCAAGTGACTTATCTGGGTCACATAGCTAGTAAGTGCCTGAAGCAGGATTCAAACTTAGTTCTTCCAGACTCCAAGCTCAGTGTTCTATCTACTGTGGCATTTAACTGCCTCCAGAAAATGGACTGAACATTCAATTAGAAGCATCAATCAGTTAATAAACATTTACAGTGCCCCAGTGTAACGCCATGCTAGAACGAGCCTTAGAAATCATCTGGTCTGACGTTCACCCAGAGAAACAATTCTCAAAGCCTTCTTGACAAGTGAGCTTTCAGTCTTTGCTTGCATATTTTGAATGCTTTTGAGATAGTCTATTAAATTATTGCACAGCTCTCATATTTCTTTCATAGACTGAGTCACATTTAACTTTGATTCTCCCCGCTGGGGGTCAGCAGAATCAATCCAATCCTTTCACGTGATAGTCCATATATTTGAAGACTGATTATGTCCCATTTCTCACCACCCTTCTCAATTATCCTGGGCATAAAAATTGGTAATTGGTAGCAATGAAGAATAATTAGCCAACCTTTGAATCAAGTTCTTGTTTGCACTTCTATTGTGAGAGGGTAATCATGCGTTACATAGTGTTCTGTGCCTTCGCTACATGTGTTAGTAGATGAAAATACTGGCTGACTCTGCATGAAATTCAAACTCGTAACCATATTTGTACAGGCACCAATGGTTCTAATCATGGTAGAATATCTTAGCTGAGTAAACAGATGATTAGCCTTGAGCCTTGAACATTGTTGATAAATGTAGGTTCTAATGAATACGTTTACTAATTGGTCTTCCCAGTTTCAGATATGAGCTGGTGCTGGGTTTCCAGCAAAGCCACAGACAACTCTGTGATGGTTTTTTTTTCTCCATTAGCTATCTTTTCTCTAGCTTACCTAATTATGCTCTATTTATTATTTCCAGGTTGCCTGGTTCCTGGTATCCCTCTGCCTGATGTCATGGGGATCAAGATAGTGGGTTCTGTTGTGAAAATTTTACCGGTAAGTTTTCCTAAATGGGCTCTAGTCATCCCAAGGACATGGTAAATTAGTCATTTAGCCTTGTGTGACTTAGTTTCTCTAGCTGTGAAATAGGGCAATAAAAATCTCTCTCAGTTCTTGCCTCATTTTTTCCCCCCTCTACAACATCCTGATGGTAGGTGATGTTAAGTCCTGAAATAAATCAAAGCCATGAGTTGAGGAATAAATGTCTTTAATGAGATAACAGGATAGCAGGTCCTGTCCCATAAGGGCAGAACACAGTGGCTTTCCTATCATGAGACCCTTGAAAGGTTCTTTACACTTTTAGGAGGGGAGGAAGTAGTATGAGATAGCAAGGCCTGGTCATGATATCCCAGTCACCCTTGGTAATCTGAGTAAGGAAAACTACTTTGTTCTGGCTGTTTTGGTCTCCATGCCACGAATCCCAGTGGAAGGGGAAGAGGACATTAGAAGCTTAGATCCAGGTTGAACTGGGTTCCTTTACAAGGCAAAATCTCAGGGTAAGGACTTAGGGTGGGATTCAGCTCAACCTAATAGACATTACCTTTAGGATAAAAATGTAAGGACACCACTGGAATTTATGACATTGCTAGAGTGATTAAGAGACAGTGTCTGTTAATATTCCATTTTGTATTAACAATTTTCTATCAGTGGTCAAGGTGGTATTATTTCCATTTTACAGGTGGGGAAATAGAATCACATTGCAATGCAGTGACTTGCCCAGAGTCACTTAGCAAGTTAGTGGCAAAACTAGAACCAGAACCTAGATCTCCTGACTCAGCCCAATGAGCTTTCTATGAAACTTGACATTGGCCTCTTTGAGAGTGGTGGTGGTGGTGGTGTGGGGATGGTAGTGATGGAGCTTTGGGATTACTTAGATAAGAGGATCTTAATCTTTTTTTTTTTGTGTCATGGATCCCTTTGGCAGTCTGGTAAAGTTTATGTACCCCTTTTCAGAATAACATTTTTAAGTGCAAATACACACATAAACACAATTATATATAATTACAAAGTAAGTCAAAAGTTAGTGAAAATAAAGATGTAATTTGTTTCACCATCCAAATTCATTGACCCCCCCCCCCCCTTGAAATCTATACCTAAACTCCCTTGGGGCTGAAGAACCTCTCTACCTTAGAAAAAGTCTATTATCCCCATTCTATGGTTGAAGACATTGAGTCTGAGAATTTGAGGGAGTCAGCAAGAACCAGGTCTCATGACTCCCACTTTAGGTCTCCTTCCATCATACCACCCCTAGTATTTTCATTAACAAGAGGATACTTAGTGTATGTAGAACTGAGAAAATGACCTTGATGATTTCTATAGGGCCTGCTGGTGGTGTGTATATGATCTTGAGTCCTGGATAGTGAGAGATCTGCTTGGCTACCTACCTGTCTTCCCTGGGACAAGAGGAGACTAGACAGACAGAAGAAGCAAGGATCACATTGAAAGCGACACTCTGAAGACTGAGACTGTGCAATGAAGGCACGGCCCTGGTGCTGAGCTGGCTGTGGTGCTAGAACCCAGCCTGGGACCCTCTTCAAGCCAGCTTGCCTTCCCAGCTGCTTAACCGAGGCACAAATGACCTCAGCTAGTGAGATTCCTGGTTATGGGACATGGGCCAGGGTGAGGCTTTTCATCTAATAAACAGTTGCAGTCTCCTTAGCCCTCAGGGTAATTCTCTTGTCTTCTATTCAAACTCACTCTTATAATTCTTATTCAGGATCTCCCTGGGAACCTCTTGTTAGGGGAGAGGGTCAGCCTGGGCTCTGTTTTTATTGGGTTCCTAGAATGATTCGCTTTATAATGGGGACTACCACTTTGTTCAGAATGCCATGGTAGAGCTCCATAGGCTGGGGAGCCTGTTTACCAGTTCCCAACACACTTCATTCGACAAGTGATTCTTGGTGTCTATTGTGTGCCCCAGCAATGTTACTGAGAGAGGTAAGAACCACAGAGAGTTGTTCTGATCCATAACTTGCCACTGGATCTAGATGGCTTCAGAGGTCAAAGTGAGGCTGGTGACTTTGCACAACCCTCCTTCACTGAAATCCAATTCTCTTGCATGTCATGGCATCACCTCTCTGATGTCATGGCCCTCTTGGAGAATGAAGGATAAACAGCAGCAGCAAGAACCAGAGAATGTTGGAGCTTGGAATGCAGAATCTCTAAGATGAGGAACCTGAACCCCAGAAGGAAGAGGATTCCTCCACAGTCACTCAAATAGGTCAATGGCTGATTTGGGACTAGACTTCAAGTCCCCTGGCTTCTAGCCCCCAGCTATTTTTCATCCCTTACACCATTCTATTATTCTGAATTTGTGGTACACTTACCTACCCGGGGACAATGAGACATTGTCCCAATGTGGCTTTGGGTCCCAAATACCTATTTAATCCCTGTGTTTATGTGTAATAATAATTAATCTTATCCCTGGTGGTTTCTGTCCCTATCACCAGAGGTCACTCAGACTCCAGGAACAAGGAGACCAGTCACCTCATGTCCTTTGTGGTAACTAGCCTGAAACTTCAGGGTACAGATTTAGGCTTAAAACACCAGAGCTGGAAGGGCCTTAGCAATTGTCTTGCTGTAACACCGTCACCCCCAGTGCTCTCCTTTTTAGAGGATGTATCTGTGGACCAGAAAAGGGAAGGAATTCACTCAGGGTCACCCAGTAGATTAGTGATGGAGCTAGAAATAGATCTCTTGCCTTTCCACCCCGACCCTTTTTACATTTATAGTTGATGATGTACTCATTGATAAGATTTATTATTTGTTAGATGAGAGAGGAATTCCGTAAGTGTCTAGGACTTAGGAAGTTGGGGTCAGGATGCTATGGTTTTTCTCATGGACAGTAATCTTCTCAAAAACTTTAAAGCATCTCAAGGTCTTTGCTGGTCTTCTTGCTTCCCAAATTCCAGGATCAGACTCTCTTGTCACACGATGTCAAGTATCAGCTGAATTTTGAGGGTTTGTATTTCAATAAGGTCCTAATGAATGAATTTGATGCAGAATTTGATCCAGGGGATCCAGAAGGAATAAAGAACTAATGATGAAATTTAAGGCACAAATTCTTGGTAGTGGGACCAGTTCTAAGCTCTGCACATCATGCCATGAAGGCAGCCTCCTCTTCTGCTTATTCTGAGCAAAGATTAATATTGCCTTCTTAAGGGTTTCCTCCTCTTAGTTTTAGCCAGAGGCGTGCTAGTAAAAGTTTAACAGCCAACTCTCTGGAAGAAAAATTGTGCTCATGACATATTTAAAAATTTAATATGTATTATTCATATTTTCTCTACCCCTTAAGTCCAGACAAGGGTAAAGGAAAAGGAAAAGGAAAAGAGATTTCATTTAGGTAGCACTTGATCTGGGTCTTGAGTGATAGAAAGGCGTGGGATAGCATACCATGTTAGAAACAACTCTGGATTGGGAATCAGGAGACTCGGTTTCTAAAAGTCCTGCCTCTGACTCTACTTGCTGTGCAACTGTGGGTAAGTCACCTCCCTTCTCTGGATTTCAGTTTCACTGTCTTTGAAATGAGTGGGCTGGACTGGATGATCTCTGAGATCCCTTCAAGTTCTAGTGTCTGATGGCCCTAAAATTTGGACAGGAGGAAGAACCAGGTGCAAGCAAAATTTCAGAGGGTAACAGTAAGCCTCCCAGTACATGTCTGGAAAACAGGTAGTATTCCTTGAAGAAAATGAAGCAGTCAGATATTTCCCAGAGAGGGATTAACCCTGCATGTTACAGATGGTTCTCTGAAGCTACGTGGAGCCTCAGTTCCCTCATCTTTAAAATGGGGGGTAACTCCACTGGACTATTGTGAGCAAAGCACTATATAAACCCTAAAATTCTATAGAAATGGGAGATATTATTGCTTAACCTCATGGTCTGAGGACTCTGGGACACAACCCCGTGACCTGCTACTAGCCCAGCTAGTGCCTCTGGCCATAAGCTTTGGGGGCATAACTATACCCTTCTCACCTTCTTTTCCCCATCCTCCCTCTGGGGATAATGTCCGACTGGCTGCCTGGAAAGGATTTGATCAGATTAGGCCTGTGGTTTAACTAGCAGATCCTGCTTTCTCTTTCTCTCCTGCTATGTTCACACCCTTTTCCCTCCCTCCCACCCCCCCCCAGCTATCTGAGGCGCCTATCTGAGTGTCTTTCCACAAAGCACTGTGATTTCCTGGCTCTGGTTACTCCTTAAGAGCTAGGGAGAGGCAGGGAATCCACCCTTGCAAAGGTCCCTGAGGTACTGGCGCCACACCCCATGGGCCAGGTTGAATGGCTGATAGGATGCCAGCTTTGTGCATTGTGAAACAGGAGGTGACCAAAGGAACCTCCCCTGGCTCTCTTTCTCCCTTTGTTCCAAGGGCCTCATTTGAGTACCAAGAAAGTATGATGGGTAGATAGATGAGAATCAGGCCAGTGGAATCCAGCAAGAAAGGCCGTGGAGGCCAAGGGGCAACTGCTGCCCAATCGCCTCTGTGGAGAGGGACCTTCAAGCATACCAAAGGAGGGGGACTAGGGTTTATGGTGGAGGTTTTTCTAGACGGGGCAGCCTGGACAACGCAGGGATTTAACCTTCAAAAATTACCTGGGTCATTATCAAATCGCAGAATGTTAGAGGCAGAAGGGACTAGCTGGTGCAAAGACCCAGAGAGAGGTTTGTGAACTTAGTTTTTGAGACTTAGACAGAGGGGTGACAAGTTTCCTGGAAATGTTCCAAAGCACAGGGACCCCTGGTCTAACCCTAGGATGGCAAAAGGCTTCCTATCTTATGTTTGTACTCTTTTTTCACCTCCTCCTCTCTCCCACCCTCTATCATTCTTCTAACATTAATGGAAAGGACTCCTCAAGCTAACCTCATTTGAGTCAGAAAAAGTTCATACTATTACAACAGCCTCCCATTCATTTATTTGACAAGCATTTATAAGTGCCCACTATATGCCAGGCCCTGTACTAGGCACTAGGAATACAGGCAAAAATGAATAGGCCCTACCCTCAGTGAACTTGCATTCTATTGTCAGGGAAGCGGGGATAGGGATGTACCTAAACTATCAAGAACAAATATTTCTTGGGAGAAGGCGCTAGCAGCTGGGGGTGATCAGAAGAGGTTTCCTGTAGGAGCATAAGTTAAGCTTTGAACCCAGCTAGAGATTCTGCAAAGGCATGAGGGAGGAGGGAGGGCATTCCAGCCTTTGCCAAAGGCATAGAATTGGGACAGCAATCAGGCTGGTTGAACTAGAATGTAAAATGTATGAGGGAGAGCAATGAGCAATAAATCTGGAAAGATAGGCTGATGCTAAATTGTGAAGGGCTTTATAACAAAGAATTTTGTATTTTACTCTTGAGGCAGAGGGGGAGCTTCATGAGTGTGAGAGTGGCCTGGTCAGACCTGTGCTACAGGAATATTGATTTGGCAGCTATGGGTAGGATGAGGATGGACTGGAGAGAAGGGGGACTGGGCTTCTGAAAGGCCTCTTCCCACCTCCGTTCTCATCCCTCTTCCAATTTCCCAATCCTTCTGCATGTAGTGCTTCCTTATGCACAAAAATCTGGTGATTTTGCTACTTTATTCAAAAGCCTTCAATGATTCTCAGTTGCCCTCTGAGCATAAGCTTTTCCTTTCTTCTTTTGTATAACCCAGTGCTCCTGAGGCCAAGGTCAGATTCCTATGTTGACCAGGTAGTTCCATTACCAGAAAAATCCCATCTTTAATCAGAAACTGAGTCCTGATCCCAAACATTGACTGAATTCTGACCTTGGATTAAGTTTTGATGCTGATAATAGACCTGTGCTCCAAACTCTGGTCCTAACCCCTAGTGGCTTATGAACGCATACCATAAATCTCAAGGTAAAATTAGGTGAGAGAACGTGGATAATTCAGTGCAGTCCATCTCCGCTACTGAAAAAACAAAAACAAAAACAAAAACAAAAACAAAAACAAAAACAACCTCAGAACGCATCAATAGAAGGTGACTCAGGAACATTCTTCTGGTAGAGAAAAATAGAGCATTTAGCATCTGGATGAATGGCAGTCCAGAATCCGTGGATGCTTATGTTCCACAGGGAGATTTGTTTTTGTTCTGAGGACACTGAGATAGGTTTGGGGGCTGGAGCCAGCAGGAGGATTATCTTCTATATTTGAGTGTCTGCAGGTGAGACTGGTACACTTAACTGGCACATTAACACCCTTAATACCCTGGCTGGCAGCCATTGCTTGAGAAGCTGGGTGGTGGTCAAGGTCAATATTCTCTTAGCCCCCTACTTCAGAAAGCTTAACCTTTGGCTCTGGGACTGGAGGGGCCTTCACTCTGAACCTCCTACCAAAGCCCTTGTGAGCTGCTGAGAGGGATTGGACTATGGTTAGTCTATGAGTTGGGGACCTTGAGCCAGTCTCTAATGTCCCTTGGGAAAGGGTAGCCCAGGGCCCTACAAATTACTAATGAGCATTCCAAACTCTAGTTCATTGTAAATCATTGTCTAACATAGTGGATTGTGTGGGTGTGTGTATAAAATGTTTGTCTACATTTCTATATTATGTTGACCATCTGAAATTATGTTCTTCTCTGGCTGTTGGTCTTATTCTTTACTCTTTGGGAATCCTGAGGAACTTTCATGTCCATAATAATAGCTTACATTCTATAGCTCCTTCATGTTTATAAAGCCCTTTCCTTACGCTAACCCTATGAGGCAAGTAGTACAAGTATTCTTATACCCATTTTAAAGGTGAAGAAACTATGGGCCAGTGAGTTTAAGTAACTTTGCACAACTAGAAAATAGTCCTGTCACAGAGTCTTCCACACTTTGAGGGCATGGTGAGTCAGACCTGTGATTTCACTGATATAGGGAACTTCTGATAAGGAAGCTTTATCTACCTATGAAGATCCACAGCAGTTCTTTAATTTTCTAGTCTTAATGAGTTGCCTGAAGGGTTGAGAGTTTAAGTGACCTGCCCAAGGTCAATCATCCAGTATGTGTCAGAGGTAGGTCTTCCTACCTGAGTCTCTGTTTCTCACCAAATGCTGATATGAGTGTATTGTGGTGACATGATCCATGGGGTTGATCAGTATATCCTCTTTTCCTGCTGCTGCCTGTGCCACAGGGCAAGAAGGTCTAAGGACTCAAAATCTGCTCCTCTTTTCCAGTGGGATAGGGCTCGTGGAGCAGTTTCTTCTCCTCTCCTCCCCCCTTGACAACGGAAGAAAATTAGAGATGGGTACAGTGGGGAAAGAATCTTTAATTTCTCTGTGAAGGTCAGGGCTGGCCTCCTGGCTAGTACTCAGACATTGGCTGACTCATTGTACCATGAGCTCGAACTCGGTACAGGCAGGTGAAGTGGGGGTTTCCCCAGTTGGTCAGTATCTTCAGTTTGATGCAGTTGAAGGGTTTGGTGAGCGTGTTCTGGAAGCAGACACACATGGAGAGTGAACAAGGCCTGGTCTTACCCTTCTATCCTTCTCTTGAGGGCTCACTCAGGGGCCACTTTCTACCTCCCCCTTCCTTGCTTCCTCTGAGCTGACCCATGTTCAGTGAATCCCAGAATTAGAAGAGATTCAGACTCAAAGACTGTTAGAGCTGGAAGAACTCTTGAAAACCACTTAGTTGTAGCACCTGAGGATTCAGCATTGGAAGGAGGCAGGGCAGATCATCTAATCCAGCCTCTTCATTTAAAAAAATGAAGAAACTGGGGGCAGCTAGGTGGTGCAGTGCATAGAGCACTGGCCCTGGAGTCAGGAGGACCAGAGTTTAAATCTGGTTTCAGACACTTACTAGCTGTGTGACCCTGGGCAAGTCACTTAACCCCATTGCCTAGCAAAACAAACAAAGAAACAGAAAAAAACCCAAAAATGAAAAAAACTGAGGCCCAGAGAGAGTAAGGAAGTTGCATAGCAAGGTCACATAGCTAAGGTGTGGCTGAAATGAGATTCAAATCTATGTCTTCTAATGGTTCTGTCTAATATTCTTTGTATTACCCACTTTCATTTTATAGTTGAGGAAACTGAGACCTAGAGATGTGAGAAGAACTTTTGCAAGGTTTATCTGCAAGTAAATGTCTGAGATGAGATCAAACTAAAGTCTTCCTGAGTTGGAAGGTAGGACTCAGGCCTTGTGGGTGACAGAACTTTCATGAAAATACAGCCCACCGTCCCTCCACTCTTCCATCTAGTTCTCCTGAGACTGATATATGCTTATTTTCCTATGGTATACACCCAGTGCAGCGTCGGGGTAAGAACACTGGCATGGGAGGCAGGATACCTGGGTTCCCGGTATAGATCTAACATTCTGTGATTCTCTCTCCCTGCTTCCAGCTAAGTCTGTTCTGAGGCCAGCGCTGGCTGTATAGTATAGTAGAAAACCTTAGAATTAGGTGGCCTGGGTTCTCATCCCATTCTGACACTTATTACTAACTCGTTTGGTGCTTACAGCCTGAGTTTCATTGTTGTAATATGGAGAGAGTGATGCTTGTCTCCCTGCCTCACAGGGGTGCTGCCAGGAAATAGCTTTGCATGCTTACAGAGCCCTAGAAATCTGTGGTGTTCTTCCTTCACAGTCTTTCCCTTCCTGAATGTCCCCTTGGCTATAGCTCCAGCCCTGGCAGCATTCGTCCTCTCTGTGGTGGGCAGATTGCCCGCTGTCCTCTGGACAGAGAGGGTAAGGGGCATGGCTGCTCTTGATAGCCTTTTGGGGAAATTGAAGACATATTTCTATTCATATCTGATACCTCCCCATTTATACAAATCACACAGATACAGGACCTTCAATATGCCATTAATACACCTGGTTATGAGCATGTGTTTTCCTAGTATGTAGAGTACAGGCTAGTGTGTCGGGGTTACTCTGGGCTCTGAGCTAGAGGCCTGATAAGAATTTCTGTGCTGCCTCGGGGGCGGATGAAACTGAAATTTGCACTGTCTCTTACTATTTGTGTGACTGTGGGCAGGTTGCTTTGTTTTTCTGAGCCTCAGTTTCCTGATCTGTAAAATCACAGGTTAGACTGGATGACCACACCGTCTTCTGGCCCAGCCATATACAACCAGCTCAGCCCTTGGGGCCCTGGGAGTGGCTAAGAAGCCCCTGAGGAGGAGATGGAGCTTTGAGAGGAGACTGACCCCAAACTAGCCCTGTCTCAACTTGGATTTGCCCTGCCCCCTCAATCCCATCCCATCATTTGAGACTAGTGATAGCCATGATTCCCAGTGTCTTATCCTCCTGGAACAGGAGGAAAAGAGCCCTTGGATATGAATCAGGAGACCTGGACCCAAATCCTGGCTCTACCACTTGTGCTGTGTGGCCTTGGACAAATGACTTTCCTTCTCTGAGACTCAGTTTCTTATTTCTTCCACAGATGATGTGTACATGTCCCTCCCCTTCAGAAGTTTTTAAATTTGGTGATTTTAAGATCTTACTGGACCAGACTGTTAGGCCAGGCAGCTGGTACTCTGAGACTAGGTTGGGAAGCAAGTCGGTATGGGCCTTTAGACATTGCTTCTGCTCCCTGGGGTAACCGTTAGCTGGACCAATAGTAGGCAGAAAAAGGCAAGAGAATGTAGGGATAAGACCATGGGATGGAGCCCCCGGCCTCTTGTAGCTATATCTCTGGGACTGGAGGACAGGATTGGCCTTAGAAAAGTTTGTGCTTGGAGGTGTGCAAGGATCCTGGGACTCCTGGGCCTGGATAATATAAAACCTGGTCAACTTATCCCTTCTCCTGGATAATGGGGAGTGAGCTCTGCATCTAAGCCTATACATATGATATACATATGATCACTTCAGGAGAGCTTGGTAAAGGTCCCCAAGGGTTGGTCTCCTTGGCTTCGAGTTAATTCATTATTTCAAGAAATCCTCTGAACTATCTAAATTTTGCACTTGAGTCCCACCCCTTGCACCCAACACCCTCAGACCCTCCCCACCCAATGATCCTCCTTGTACCTTGAGTGGAAACATCTGAATGGAGTTTTCAGGCTGAAACAAAAAAGCCCCCAGGAATGTCTCTTCTTTGCTTTTATCATTGATGCCCTTTGGAGGCAAGCAGGACAGGGTGAGGAAACAGGTAGCAGAGAGATGGGGATATGGGCTTGGGTGTTTACAATCTCAGGGGACCTAGAGAGAACCAGCTCCCTGGAGCTGGGGCTGCCAAGAGCAGATACTTTGGACACACCCAGGTAGTGCTGACATGGTACACATTGACTCCTGCTCTGTTTCATAGAATCTCAGAACTGGCAGGGACCTCAGAAGCCAGTTATTCCAACCCCCTGACTGATGGAGGAGTCCTGTCTATAGAATTTCCAGACAAGTGGTAACATAGCTTCCACTTGGGGAGCTCCTGTGATGGGGAATTCACTACCTCTGAATCTAACGCATTCCACTTTTAGTTAGTACAAGTTGTTAGGAAGTTTTTCCTCAGTTTGAACCAAAACGGGCCTCTAACTTCTTACCCATTGCATCTGATTCTGCCCCCTGGGACAATGTAGAACAAGTCTAATTCTTTTCCACAGTGCAACCCTTCATGTACCTGAAGACAGCTATCATGTCCCTCTCCTGCCCTCCCCCACCTCCAAGTCTTCTCCAGGCTAAGAATTCATAGTTCTTACAAGAGAGTTTTGTATGTATAGTCTCCTGTCCTCTTAGCATCCTGGTCATCTTCCTTTGGACATGCTGCAGTTTGTCAATGATCCTGCTACAGCGTAGTAATGATATCTTCTTGAAAACTACTATTAATTATATCTCATTAAAGAGGAGGGCAGCAGGACTGTCCCATCCCTCGCTCTAGATTCCATGCTTCTATTAATTCAGTCTAGCACTGTATTAGTGCAAATGCACATTAGCAATTTTGTCTGCTTGGCACAGTCCTCCATGTTGAGTTTATAATCCACTAAAAACCTCTTTTAACACCCCTGCATCAAAGGTCAGGAGTAACCCTGATTAAAAAAAAGTATTTTCTCATATCTGCATAGTGCTTTAGGGTCTGCCAAATGTTTCCCCATCTATCATCTCATTTGATCATCATGGCATACCTGTAAGAGAGGTGGGTTATTTATCTGCATTTTGCAGATGAGAAAACAGAATCCTAGAGAAAAATGTCTGGTCCAAAGTCATGCAGCTAGGAAATGTCCTCAGGCCTTGAACTCAGCTCTGTGGTGCACAGTTCATTGCTCTTTGAACCTTCCTACACTGTTGGGAGTAATACCATGGGGCTTTGCCTGTTCTACTGAAGGATGCGTTGCTATGGACGTGGGAGGAATGAGATTGCTTAGCCAGGAGAGGAAGGCAAAGTATGATCTGTTGACCGTCTTCAAGTACACAAAAATCTATTTGGAGACCCAGTATGTGGAAAGAGGACTAGGCTGGAGTCATCTCTAGCCCCACTCTGCTCCAGGCTTGTTGTACCATCTAGGACAAATCACTTCGTCTCTCCTGGGCTTGTTTCCCTTTCTGTAAAATAAGGGACTTGGATTAGACTCTGAAGTCCTCTCTGACTCTGATGTTCTGTGTTCCACATGGATAAAAGGTTATTATTTTATACGTGAGAATCAGCATCATCTGCAAAAACCCTGGGAAATAGAAACTGAACTTTTTTTTCTCTCTTACAGAATGAACCCGTTGATAACCTTTATCGGCAACACAAGTCAAGAGCAGCCTGCCAGGAAGAGAGGTTATCAAAATGTTAATTTCTGAGTTTCTAGGGTGGAACAGTATCAGATCAGAGAGCTTTCACTGTGTGTTTCTGGTCTGTTCCGTCCCTTGGGCTTGTGACTTCCCACTTATATTTTTCTTTTCTCTTTCCCAATGAGAAGAGAGCAACAATGTCCTGAGCCCCTGGGCACACTGCCCAGTGGTCTGGCCTCCTATAGGAGGGTCAGCATAGAATAAATAGGCAGCTGTCTACGTGGTATGATTTGACAGCCTGTAGGAAGGTCCCCCACCAAACACATCTCATTCACTGCTTCTTGCAATGGCAGAATTCCATTCCTTTGGGCTAAATATTGCACTCTCCCTGAAGTCCTTTTAAAAATAGAAATATTCCTGAAACTCACACATTAAACACCTAATACCTTAGTGTGAATAATTTATCGGATACTTTCTTCTGTGACAAGAAAGACTGAGTAACCCAAGAACACTGGGAAAGTAGGTACTTGAAAAAGGAGAAAGTGCCCAGAAACAGGAGGGGAGGAAAGTCAAAGACAAACAGCTGTCTTCACTGTTCTTCTAAGGATTAGTCTACCCTGTCTGAGGTATTCCATACTACTTAACCTCTCACTGATATTTGTTTTAGCGATAGCAAAGAGCTTCTGGGCCCCAGTAGGTAAGAGACCCAACAGGACCTCCAGAGCTGGTACTTTTCATGTCTTTTTCTCAGGTCCAATCCTCCCTTCCCCTTGTCTGGCTCTAGACTGATCACTCACATATACGACAAAGTCCTTGGGGGCTGTATCCAAGTTGCCTGACAGGGAAATAGTTTTCGGGATGTGCTGAATCGTAATATTGGTGAGGAAGATCCTCCTGGCCAGGCGGATGACGACTTGCCCCTGATCTCCACTGAATGCCCAGCAGTTGCCAGGTGTCACGTTGGGCTGGAGGGAGAACAGGTACATGAAAACGAGGTCAGGTTCTCTCATCCTGGCTTCTCCCTTGTGGAGACTGCCTGCCTGTTGGACTTCCGTGCTGAGGCTCTAGCCCCCCTTGCACATATTGGAGAAGAGAGGACCATGAAGCGGAAGCTGGGAATGGCTGATTGTCTATCAGGGGTGGGGAAACTGCGGCCTCGAGGCCACATGTGGCCCTCTAGGTCCTCAAGTGTGGCCTTTTGACTGAATCCAAACTTATAGCACAAATTTGTTCACACGTGGCCTTGAGGCTGCAGGTTCCCCACCCCTGGATCTCTATGATATTACCAACACTGAACTCAGTAGAGTTATAGACCTGAATATTAGATCAAAGTGGGAGCACAGTGTACTCTGAGCTGTGTCAAAAGGGGAAAGCTTCAAGGAGGACAGTTCCAGATAAACCATTCCTCCAGAGCAATCTGGAAGTGGGCTATGATCTGGGGTGGGCTCCTCCAGGTTGAAACCTCTACTGTACTTACCTTGTACAATTTTTGAGCTTGAAAAGACCTTAAAGACCTCTAGGGGTAGGCCATGAGTTCTTAATTTTTTCTGTGTGTGTGTATGTCGTAGACCCCTCTAGCAGTCTAGTGAAGCCTCAGGTCCTAGTGACTGCCCTAATCATCAGCATCTGCTGGGACCCCTAAAAAGGGACTGGCCAGAGAATTGGGCTTGGTGTCAGGAAGTCCAGTGTTCAAATCTAGCTTCAGGCGCTTACTTGCTGTGTGACCCTGGGCAAGTCATTTAATCTCTTTTTGCCTCAGTTTCCTCAAATGTAAAATCAGGATAATAGTATCAACCTCCTAGAGGTTGTTGTGAGGATCAAATGAAGTAATATTTGTAAAGTGCCTGATACATAGTAGATGCTTAATAAATCTTTGTTTCTTTCCTTCCTTTTCATCTAGTGAATGAGCTTAAGGGATTTGCAGTGATGTAGGTAGATAGGTCAGCGACTGCTTCATTTGATAGATGATGAAACTGAGACTCAGATAGCCAATAACGGTCTCAGATGGGATTCAGACTCAGGTTTCCTGACTCCAACTAGAGATTTATCTTGTATGTAGAGTGATGTGTGATGGCAGCAGCCTATGCCAATTGCCGCTACTGCCTTGAGGCATTTGAATTTTTCTCCTGAGGGGTAGGTGAGTAGTGGTTGCAGTGCTGAAAATGGCCTTGTCATTGTCTGAGCCGGGGGAGCTGTTCAAAATGACTCAGACTATTACCTAGTCAGATCCCTTGTAAGATGTATGCATGTGCTAGTGATTGATTATAAGATCCCAGGTCACAACTCCAGGGTTGGCAGGTACATCAGAGGGCATCTATTGTAGCCCCTTCATTTTGCAGATGAGGAAATTGGTTAATGTTAACCATTAACAAGATTAAATGGCTTGTTCACAGTCACACAGGTATTAAGTGCCACTAATGGGATTGGAACCCAAGTCCCCTGACTCCAGAATTGCTCTTTCCACTATATCACGTACTCCACCTCCTCACCTCCCCCAAATCACTGGGTTTGAGGGCAAACTCCCACCTGAGCAAAGAGGGAAAAAGCCCAGTTGATCCCAATCCAGAAGCTGGGCAGAGTCAGGAACCAGAGATGCTCAGAAATGCCAATTTTTCTTTTAAAAAGAGTTTTATTGTTACTTGCACTCACTTCCCAATGACTCTTCTCTCCCATACCCTCCCCAATAGAATCCCCTCTTGGAACAAAGCAATTCACTTTAGTGAAACAAATCAGCTTAGCCATGCCTGAAACAGTATGCCTCATTTCATACCTGCTATCCAACTCCTGTCTGCTGAGAGGGAGAAGGCACTTTTTATGGTCAATTATCAGAAGTAAAAATTAGTGACTGGATGAGGAATTGAGTGAGTGTTGGCTAAAGGCTGGTTTTTCTTTTTAAATTAAATTAATTTAATTTGAGAAAGTTTTATTGATTTAAATTTTTTTCTACTACAGTCTCATTCCCTCCCCACAAATATCTATCTTTCAATAAAGAAAACAAGTTTCAGCAAAATTCTCTGTCAGCATACCTACATCTGCCAGCTCATGCAAAATTCTACACTCATGGTCCTCTACTACTCTAAGATAAGAGGAAAGTGTGTTTCATCATTGGTCCCCTGGAACCAAGATAAAAGGATATTTTTTTTCTAATGAAATCTTTCTCCCTTTCATGTTGGTTAGGGAGTGTCTCTTCCACTTCCTCTCTGACTCTGTCTCTACCACCTGAGCCAAGAAGAAGCAGGGCTGAGACTGCAGAGGAGGGCAGAGGGACCAGCACTAGAGAGATTCAATACTCCGGGGGACCCCAGCAGGGTTGAGGCTCTGGAATAATGACAGCAATGACAACTCACATTCCCATAGTGTTTTATAATTAATCAAACATTTTTCTCATGACAATTCTATGAGGCAGTTAATAAGGATAAGAATAAATAACAACAACATAATAACATAATAGTAACAATTAATAATAATAATAACATTAGATCTTTAAATAGGGCTTTTCAGTTTGCAAAGTGTTTTAAATATATTATCATCTGGACCTGTTGAGGTGGTCACCTGTATACCATGACCTCTATTTTATGGATTAGGCTCAGTGATGTGTCAGAGACAGGATTTGGACCCCCATCTAACTCCAACTCTAGCATTCTATCTACCATGCCATCCTCTTTTGGGGAGGAGTGAAGCTTAGGACCAGAGAATGGAAGTGAATTGCTCAAGGCTACATAGTGCTTGGGACAGCTAGGTAGTGCAGTGGATAGGGCATCAGGCCTGGGGTCCAGGAAGACTCCATTTTCCTGAGTTCAAATCTGGTCTCAGACACTTAGGAGCTGTGTGACCCTCGACAAGTCACTTAATCCTGTTTGCCTCAGCTTCCTCATCTGTAAAATGAACCGGAGAAGGCAATGGCCAAGCGCTTCAATGTCTTTGCCAAGACGACTCCGAATGGAGAGCTGAACAGGACTGAAATGACTCAATACCAGCAGTGCAGCGAATCTATGGAAGGGCTGAGTCCTGAGCATAGGTCATCTTATCTATACCCAGCCCTCTTTTCATGATGCTAAATTGCCTCCACATTGAGCCAGCATTTCTGACCACCTTTTTGATCTCCAACTACTTTATGTATATTTGGCTTCTTTTCCCAAGTAAAGCAAAGCCCGATGAAGGAGAGGTGGGATATTAGATTTCTCTTTCTCTCTCTCTCTCACAGTGGCTAGTTCAGGGAATATAGTAAGTACTCAGCTTATGTTTAATGATTGACTCATCAACAATAAGTGAAGATAGTTGAGGTAAAAAAAGTCACGTCATTCTTTGGACATCTATAATCTCAGCCTGCAAATATGCACTATATATTGAGATCTTCCTATTAGTTGGCTTAGGGGTCTAAAAACACTTCCTCACTGCCAGAGTATAAGACAACCACAAGGAACTCTAGGGACATTCTTATTGGCTGGTGGATTATAATTGATAACTCAGGCAAGGAAGCTTCACTAACCTGAATCAACTCAAGGTGTCTTCAATACCTATATTCTTCTCCTGCTATGGTCTAAGTAAATTTTTTTTGACTGAAAAAACTCCCACACCATATATATCACTCAATCAGTATCGGGCATAGAGAGACCACTCTGCTGAACCCTGTACTGGGCACTAGCTGAAGGCATACAGTAGGATATAGAGGAAGCCAGAGGCAGTCATGATATAGTGGAAAGGATGGGGGTGGGGTGGGAGATCTGCATTTTATTTCTGGCTTTGTCAGTGGCTCTCAGTGTGACCTTGTACAAATCACTTCTCTCCGGACCTCACTTCTCTCCTCTATCAAATGAAAGAGTTGTACTTGATGATTTCCAAGGGCCTCTGCAGTTCTAGAATTTTATGGTTTTTGAGAAAATGCAGGTATTGCTAATGGTGATACAAGAAGATAACATGTGAGAATGACATTTAGATAGATTTAATGAAAGCAAGAAGTATAATTTAGTAGAGTTCAAGATATGCCCTGAAGACCAGAGGATAATTAGTATATTAATATAATGGTGGGTGGTTGGGGCTGGGTGGAGGTTCAATAAGAGGAGGCTTCCTGGAGCTAACTTTTGAGCTCTCCCTTGTCCCTGGGAAACCAGAGGGAGTATTTGGGATAATCCTCTTGTGAAAGAAGTAAAGTAAAAAACCTAGTTTCTGTCTATTGTTTCAATTTTAATAGAAAACCATGTGCTAGATAATGGGGAGAACCAGGACTACTTCATTAACTCTGATATAACTAATCATTCTTCTGGTTTTAGAATAACAGATAAAGGAATGAAGGCATTGGATCCATTGAGCAGGAAGGGAACCGGGGCCACTTTATTTTTGGAGAGTGCCCCAGTGCTTCTATCCCAATAAGCTAGGTGCACAGCTAGCTCACTTAAGAGAGAGAGGTGATGCAACCATTGCTGGCATATTGAGACAGGACCCTGGACAATCCTGCAGACACAGGCATTCAGGAGAAAGGAGAGAGGGAAGGAGGCAGGTAGAACTCATGGTGCATCTGTTCTGCTGGGGTGTGAAGTCTGGTCCAGGGAGGATACTAGGAAGGTATACTTTTCTCTGAGTTTCTTGTATGTCTGTAGCCATATTGCTGGACTGTCCTAAGGTTTGGCCATAGTTAGCATCATTAAGGAGTTGATCTAAGAGAGGAGTTCTTAACACTCTGTCTCTTTCTCTGTCTCTCTCTCTCTGAATGTATGTGTATGTTAGACTCCTTTGGCAGTCTGGTCAAGCTATGGACCCCTTCTTAGAATGTTTTTTAAATGCTTGAAACAAAACACATAGGATTATGAAGGAAACCAATTATGTTGAAATACAGTTGTCAAAATATTAAAAAAATCCAAGTTCAAAGGACCCCAAGTTAAGAACCCCTCTTCTAAAATGATGCAAGTTCTGTCTCCATGGGGGCTGAATGCCTGATAAGTACCATCTGAGGTTACTTTTTTCCAGTTGGGCTCAGTAGGGCTTAGGAATAGGTTACTAGGACCAAAGAATCCATATCATCAACTGTTGGACAAAGTCACAGTGGAAAGCCAGGGAGTTCTAGCCCTACCTCCAGGATGACATCAGGTGGACGTGCATAGTTCCATAGTCGGAACCAACTCCAGTAAGATCTGGCTTTGTCACAACTGTAGGTGGCAGATGTGTGTTCGAAATCAATGGTCCCTCCTGAAAACCAAATACAAATAGAAATATTTATATAAAGCTTTTCACTTTGCAAAATGCTTTTTTGCCTAACAACCATATGAAGTAGGTAATGAAAGTTAGTCAGTCAATAAGCATTTATTAAGAACCTGCTATGCGCCAGGCACTGGACTGAACACTGGGGATACAAAATAAGGCAAAAGGCAGTCCCTACCTTTGAGGAAATAACAATCTAATAAGATTATTATTAATGAAAGTGCTATTATCCCTGTTTTATAGTTGAGGAAACAGGTTGAGAGGTTGTGATTTGCCCAGAATCACTAGGTATCACTAAGTGTAAAATCTGGAACTGGAACCCAGATCTTCTGACTCAAAAACCCCTGAATTACACCATTTCTCAATAGTAAGTAGCACCTTTGGACAGGATCTGCTCATGCCAAGGGCTGAACTGCTTTTACCTCTTGGCTTCTCTTTCAGACAGGAACTGCCTTCAGCTCTATTTGCAGACCTGAGGCCACTAGAACTATTAATTCATGAATAAATTAATTATCATGTTAATTAATTAATAAAACTAATTCATGACAAGGGAATGTAAGGAAATTCAAGCTCTGAGCAAGATGGAGAAAGACCATAAGTCTAGTCCCAGTGCAGGTTTTCCATTGCTCATTCAACTGATTAATTTTCCTCTGCCACTGTGTAATCTTGGTTCAGGCTCCTTCCCCTCAAGGCTAAAGCTTTTACTGTTGTAAAATAAGGACAGGGCTAGATAGTCTTCAAGGTTTCTTCCAGCATGTGTGGTGGCATGGTGCTTCTGTCTAGTCATTTCATCTTTGTGGGGACTTGAGGATCCTAGAAATTTCCACAAAGGGAAAGAGTTTCCAAGACATAGAGAAAGAAGACTTCCCTAATTCTCTCTAGGGCAGAGAAACTTCACCATCTTGATCAGGCTGAGGGCAGGAAGCTACTGAAAGGTTAGTGGGAAATATGAGATCTGTATACTGAAATATAGGATTTGCTTATTCTCTTTCTTCTGCTGCCCTTAAGACTTGAACCTGATCATCATGTGGAGAACTGGATTCCCTATTTGGTACCAATGGTACTACCATTACTCATTGTCATGTGGGCAGTGAGCACTGCTACTGAATTGGGACTGAGGAGATATCACAAGGTGGATCAGAGTGGCCTATTTCAGAGGTTGGTAGAAAGGAGAGTGAAGCAACCCAAAGAGGAGACAGGGTCAGACCTGATACAAGCTGGCAAAGCTCTGTAAAAATACAGGGAATGGCTGAATAAATTGTAATGTGTGGTTGTGATGGAATACTACTGAGCTATAAAAATGATGAACTTAATGATCTTAGAAGTGCATGGAAAGACTTGCACAAAAGGATGGAGAGCAAAGCGAACAAAACCGAGAGAACATCATATACAGTAACAGCAGTATTATTTTAAGAATGACTTTGAGAGACTAAGTAATTTTGAATGTTATAAATACACAAATGAAAAAATAAAGGACAGATGAAGGAAGATGCTACCTGCACCCAGAGAAAGAAATGATAGAAATATGTATTGAATAATTTTACATATATATGCATATACATACATATACATATACATACATATATACATACACACACATATATACACACACCTGTTTGTGTCTAATGGTAGTCATCTCTAGGGTGGGGGAGGGAGAGAAGAAAAAAAGGAAAAAAAAGATATTTATATGATCATTTTTTGGTATATTTGGAGGGAATAGCAAGTTGTACGTGGTAGATTTACAGTTTCATGGGTAATCATCTTTTTATTTTACTGTGTTATGGAAATTTTTGTTCTGTGAATTAAAAATAAAATAAATTAAAATAAAAAATACAGGGATCTGTTGGCATAACTAATGGTTATTGTGGGCAATTGCTAAAAAGAGTAAACATGTTTAAGGAATTACTGAGTATGTGGTTAAACCCAAGAAAATTCAACTAAAACTAATTTCACAACATCTTCTCCTTTCTGGGTTATAGAACCAAAGCAAATGGCCTTCATTGGTTTCATAGACTCAAAGACAAGAGCTAATAGAGAGAATGTGCTGAGAAATGAACCCGAGGACAGCAATTTCCTTGAGCAAAGACAAAGGATTAGAGAAACAGAGATTATAGTGGCTGTATGTAAGAACACTCACTTGCTGCAGAGTAGAACTTAAGAGGCAGAACTGTTTTCTGCTACAGCTCTGGTCTGGAAGGCCACATGAGTGATGGATGTATTCAAAGGACGATTGCAGGGTGGCTGGGTCAGAGGCCTGGATCTCTATTGTTTAGGGGTCAATCCCACTAGAACCCACAGAACTTTAAGCAGAAGGGGTGATAAATATTGAAAATGTGTAGTGAGGATGCCATGCTGAACAGTGGGTCCCGTGTGCTCATTGTATTTCAGTTATATTATGAGACACTGCTGAGGAAAACACAGCCTATGAAAAGGTGGATGGATGACAAACTATGCATATTTGACATATGTAAGTCTCATGTTTCTAGGGAAGTTGTTGGTGTCAGTAGGAAGGTGGGCATCTGGGCATCATGGCTCTGGCAGGTCCACATCCAGAAAACATTTGGAACATCAGCATTGATCAGAACCAACTCTGGCGTATTCAATGTATTAGCAAATAGTTACTCAAGGAAATATTGACTTTGGCAGGAATCAAATGTCTAAAAGTATAATATCTTGCCAAAGAGATTTGCAGCTTGTATCCTAGTCACACATTGATGAACATTCTAAGAACACTGAGGTATGAGTAGAAATCTCAGTGTAATCAACCTATATCCTTTATGATGCATATACACAAGTCTATTAGGAATGATGCCATAGGTTTTATGTTAGTCTTGGTGGTTTTGGGCAAGAGCCACGCCTGCCTGTGCTTTTGAACCCCAGGAGATGGAGAGGCTGTAAAGACTTGTGACCAATATATTTGTTGGCTGAGACATGAGTTGAAAGAACACTATCAATTAGCCATGACTTTGGCTTGGAAGAATTCTGGCAGAAACAAACAATGGTATGATTATTGAGTTCATTGTTGAGACCTTTAGCAAGGTGATAGTTTTGTTGAAAACTGGTGTTCAGAGAACACACAAGACAGTTGAGCTGGGGAAAGCCATTCCGTAACAAGTAATTGAGAGATTGAGCAACTTGATTATCTACAAAACAACCCCAGAGAGTGATAGGAACCCTGTACAGGTACTTCATTGCAATCACCTATTTCCCATAGGGAAGTCAATGGGACTTTCTGGTAAGTAAGAAAAAAAATATTATGGACCAGTAGAAGGAGCAGAAGCTCATAAGTTGTAGACAGACTACTTGAGGCCCATGAGATTTCCTTGGAAAATGTATACTAAAACCCCCTAACTTTGCTTAGATCTGAAGGGGAATTTGGTCCATACAAGGGTGCAGGCTGAACCCCTGGACAATTTCTTTCCTATTTAGTGCTTTAGGTGTAGAGATCCCTAGGGTACAGAGATAATACATAACAACAACAATAACAATGATAATGATAATTAACATTTGTATGACCATGAATCTTTATGTGCCAGGCACTGTGTTAAGCACTTTACAAATATTATCTTATTTGATCCTTACAACAACACTGGGAGGTGGGTATTGTTAATATCCATAATGTTTTGAGAATGATAACCATCCTGGGCCATTTACAAGTCCTGCTTTGGAAATATAGGCTAGTAGTTACAGAGAGACTGAAGATAAAGGAGAGAAGAGGGGGATGATTACGGAGGGCAATTTGCTGGAGAAAGGAGTGGATGGTTTCAAAGGTTGGATATAGAGAGGGGGAGAAGGCTATCTCTTCATCAGAGACTAGAGTAAAAGAAGAGTGAATGAAGAATAATGTCAAGGGGCTGTAACATATAGACAAGGGAAGAAGAAGGAACATTGCATTGGGCTCTATTTTCTCAATAGAGGTTGAACTCCTCAGCAATGAGGTTTGGGGGATTACATGGGGTATCAGGCTTGAGGAGAGAAGTGGTTTGGGACAACTGCTGTCAGGAGTAGGAGAGACAATCTGTTGGGGGG